GTTAAGCAATAACATGTCACTTTCACGAGAAGTAAAATCTACAGCAATACGCCACAAACCATTTCTGCTGAAATGAACACAACGTAATGAAGAACTTTACTTAAAGAGCAAAATAAACTTTATCAGCAGGCCCCAGTTGTTCAAGACGCGGACACCACTATCCACTGGATAAAAGTCTATCCATTGAATAGTGCAGTTGGTTTCCCTAAGTATACTTGTCCACTGGAAAGTGATTTATCTGGTGGATAGCTCTATAAAGGCTAGATTACCAGCTGCTGTTCATGAAATGAACCTGTGCTCCAGCCAGGAAAACAGAGAGAACAGCAGAAGTCAAGCTTAAGGTCTATCCAACATTTTAACAACTGGCACCAGAACTGGCAAGTTGTGCATTTAAAGCAATAAATCGCAAACTCAAAATGACACTCCAACTTGCCAGTTCTGGTGCCAGGTGTAAAAATGTTGGATATAAGAGCTTAAGCTCGACTTCTGCTGTTCTCTCTGTTCTCCCGGCTGGAACTGAAAAGTATTTCACAATCCTTAAAATCTACATTCCTCTGTCCAGGTCCAAGAAATGACTTACATCTTTGAATGATAACTATCTTCCCACTTGCAAATCCTGTCGTTAATGAAAACATTTATTAGAGACTTAGATATATTAATAACAACAAAAATTCTTTACTCAAGACCTTAATCAACCCAAGCCATGATAACTTCGGCAAAAGGCTACAAAGCTGGTGTTGCAAATGGATCTGTTGCATTTATGGCCATGGGGTTGTGGAATCCTGGATATCAGTTTTAAAATGCTATCCCATTTCTCTGCCAGAAGCACTTAATTTCAATCCCACTTATCTGTTTAAAATCAGTTAGTTGTCACATACAAATATAAATTATTATTTAGTTTTCTGTTTTCAAGCAAAAAGCACATAATGTAAAATAATATTATCCTAACATGTAAGAGTGAAGTGGCAAAACCATACCTATAAAATTTGTCAAGGTATTTACAAAAGAGGTCTTCATAGGTTTGAATCTCAACACAGCTGTAAAGTATTAAGGCACAATGCAAATTTCAAAGTAATGCATCTAACTACAACTGCTAAAACATAGTGAGGGTTATGTATTATTTTAATTGTCACCGAGGAAAACATTTGAGTCAGCCCTTTAAAACTTGCAATATTACTGAAAGAGTTTGCTAAAAACAGTCATTTAGTAACTACCTATATCTCTAGGTAACATAGCAGTAACATTGTAGTGCAGCTGTTAAATCATGTCCAAGAGAGAGATGAGTCTGTCTTAAAAATTCAGTAATTATAAGGAGTAGACCTTCCTCCTTTGAATGTTTTATTGCCCCACTGTAGAGAATGTGATGATATTCAAGGCTGGAGTATTCTATTTAAAAATGGATAAGTCCATCCTCTGCCTCGTCCCGGCCCCAGCCGCTCGCAAGCACTTTTTGGGGGATATTTGAGTTAATTTTTCAGGAAAGCGTTCTGCACTTGTTCCCATCATCACCCTCTTGTGCTTATTGCCTTTCTCACATACATGCACTCTTTATTTCAAACAAGGGAAAGAAACAAATCTCCAGATCAATATTTTGATCCATCAATATTATTATTTATTATATAGACATGAGTGTTTTACTGGAAAATATACCCAGGGTTGTCACTAAAATTTCAAGTTGCCAGGTAAATACAACAAGTAGGCGGGGAATCAAACAGCAAGGAATTTCTTTTGGTTCTATTTTTCTTCTATTTTCCAATAAAAGTAGCCGGGGACCACACTCATAGTAGCCCGGGGAAATCCCCGGCCCCCAACTCTTAATGACAGCCCTGATCCCACTCGTAAAATTCATAAAAACTACATCCGGGACCCGAGTGGTTTATTTTCCATGATCTCACACGTAAGTTTATCGATGACGTAATTTCGGTCATTTCACCCTATTATTTCATCGATGTCGTTTTGTCTGTATGATAAAAAGAACATTACATGGCGGCTTGAAGATATGAATTTTATTTTCTCGTGGCAAAAACAATATTTTACTCACTCGCGGTTTTGCCACTCGAAAATAAAATTCATATCTTTGTGCCACCGTGTAATACCCTCTATATAGTAACAAAACAACAAGCAAATAAGGTCTATATATGGTTTACGTAACTGCATCTTACATGTTGATAAATGCATGTAGGTCCTTTTGAGCTTGTTTCTTAGCTGCTTGTTTTAGTTCCTTGCAAGTGAGAGACAAAAAAATTGATTTCAGTACTGCTTGTGAGCAATTTAACAGAAGGATTATTGAAATGCTCCTTCTAAATATCAGGGACAAAAAAACTTTGCCTTTTCAGCATCTTCCCAAGGGATGTTTGTGGAACATGCAAGTGCTGTTGATGCAACTATAACTTACATGTACATGTATTATATGTTGCATGCATTACAAATCTAGATACATACACAGACTGCATGTTTTACAGGTAGCCAAATATGTGGCACATTTCTTGACAGACTTGAAGAGTTTGCGGTTCTGGTTTTGTTTAAACACCACTGCAACCAGCAATTTTAAGGCACAAGCTTAGGACTGCAAATACCAACCCTACATAAATCCGTGCGGACTATGTTGTTTTTATACTTTACAAAAACTTAACAGACAGGTCTTAGGGTTTTCAGTAAGTTCCTGCGAAGACTATGTTTGCAGATGTCATTACAAAGGCAGCACTTTATTCTCAGTTGATTAAAGACAAGGAAATGTTGGTCCAGCTGGGGTTTGAACCTGTAAACTCCCACTTGTGATCAGCACACCAGTGCTCACTACCAAGCAGTGGTTAAATGGAATTTTTTGGCTGGTGTGTACAGTATTAATTGTTTTTTTCCCTGCATCAATCCTACATGCTAACAAGCAAATATGCTTAAAATATCCTCCACTATAAGCCCAATTTTCTATATACGTAGGTTACATGTCAACGGTACTTACCAAACTTGCATAATCATCTTCTTTTCTCTTGACCAAGTTTCTAATTCTTGCGTTTACAGCACCTCTTGAGTTTTTCGATCCCAACCTTTTCACAGCAGCCAAAGAAAGTATGACAACAGAGTATAACAGTGGAAATAGAAGAAGATACACTGCAAAATTAAGAATGAAACAACATCAAGTTACCAGTAATGGGGAGCAAGGGTGGCCCAGTGGTGAGAGCGCTAGCCTCCCACCAATGTGGCCCGGGTTCAAATCCCGGCGTTGACGGCATACATGGGTTGAGTTTGTTGTTGGTTCTCTCCCTTGCTCCGAGAGGTTTTTCTCCGGGTACTCCGGTTTTCCCGTCTCCTCAAAAACCAACATTTCCAAATTCCAATTCGACCAGGAATGAGGCAGACGAAGAACCACTATGTGGATGTGCTACCTGCAAATCGTTATTTATTTATTTATTTTAGTAATGCTGAGACAAGCCCAAAGTAACATTTTGATGTGATTTAATAGTTCTGTAGTAAATGGCTTGACATGACTGTAAAATAAAAAGGTTTGTTTTTAACTACGTACATGTAGGTATGTAAACCAGTATGCACCATCAGAGGAGACAGTAATAATATTGATCTAAATCCCCCAGAAAAGGTAAGTAACAGGAATTCCAAAGACTGGTTAGCAATTATCCTGGATTAACTGTAAACAGACCATTTGTGTTGCCATGGTAACAAACCCTATATTTGCGCTCACAACAGTCTTTCAAAAACCTGTCAGTTTAACTCCATGGGATTATTTACCTGGATATCTCATAGATAAATAAACAGAACCAGTCATTACCACCACACTGAGCCTTGGGGACTGCCACCTTGAAAAAAGGGAAACAAAATTTTTTTGAACATTTTAATATCAATAAAGAGCTTATGATGGCAGGGATGCATATTTTAAATGAAACTTGGACATTTAAATATCAAAATGTTTGCTGGTAAACAGAGATCCTCCCTATAAATAATAATTTTTCATAGAAATTTACATCCACACTAATTTCCTAAAATAAATTTTGCCACACTGTCTACCCAAGGGTAATTGCTCAAGGCTGGTTTTCACTCACAACGTAGTCTGATTTGAAGACAACCAATTTGGAGCCATAATCAGAAGCACAGTGTGTTATGATCTAGTGAAAACAGTATTCCAGTTCTGCTTACAACTCTATCACTTACAATTTAGTGAAAACCAGACTGTTGGAGACCTAAGCAGAAGCAGAAGAACAAACCAAAGACAATGCACGGGAATGAGAATTGTGATTACTGTAAATGATCTAACAATGTTAAGTTTGTATTAGATGCCCCTCGACTTTAATAAATGCCCCAGTCTAATAGATGCCCCTCCCCCCAGGACAATTACTCCAAATAGCAAAAAGGAGCAATAATCATTCAATTTATGCAGTTTATTTCTTTATTAACAAGCCAGGGTTTGGCACTTTGCCCATTGCATTTTGTTCAATATATATCAAGTTCAAAGTAAGGACAGGCTAACAATCACAACACCATGACCCTGACATCAAAGTTGAGATTTAAAAGGACAATGTGGATCTCTAGATGACCTAGACATATCAATAGATGGACTGGATGTTATGCTGTTTATAAACTCTCTTCATATTTTTGCCGCAATCAAATTTATTTTTTGAGCTTGTCACAGCTAGGTATGAGAATAAACACCGCTCTATTTTACATGCCTTTTAACTATTAAATACCCTACAAGCAGAGGTTTCTCTCTTGCATGCTTTTAGTGTTTATGGGTGTAAACAAACCAATTACGCCCCAGACAAGCCACGTGAATGACTTCGTAACTATTAAATGCCCATAGAATTAAATATATATGTTGTAGTTAATTTTTATTTCAGTTAATTTTTATTTTTCCATTGTTTCTGAGTATGGTTATGTATGCTAATGAATTTAAAAACAAAGGAAAACCAAAAATTAACTGAAATAAAAAATTAACTGCAACATATACCCCAGGCATCTATTAGTGCATTTACAGTTTTTTTTTCTGCTTTTGCTTCTTAGCCTGTGTAAAACTATCTCCTCTCGTTTCATGAAAAATCAGAGATAGAGACTCTATTCCCCATTTTTTCGAGGAGAGGAGGCGGATGACACGGGAAATCGCTTTCAGGTCTAACAATCTAGTTTTTTATGACATCACAAGCAACAGAGTCATGAAAAAAGGGAACGGTTTGATTGTTACGATTCAGATTCTAGATTCCCATGCAGGTATTTTGAGGGAAGCAATTTTCCTTGCAAACTACAAGGAAACTCCAAAACTGACTCTGTGGGAGGCTACTCCGATTCAGGCGAGTTATGATTCTACTTAAGACACCGATTTTCAGCTGATTTTTCAATCCCATTCTGTCACCACTGAAAACTGTAGTCATGAACAGTATTTGCTCGATAACGAAATACATAGTCACGTGTGAATGCTTCCAACTAATAAGGAACTATTATTTACGGAATGAAGTATCTGCTTATAACGCAACTTCAAGGCTTCCAATTTGGTTACTAAAGTGATAGTACGTATTAAAACAGCTGGCTGACCAACCTGGTTATGAAATTGAAACTTTCATGACATTTTACAAATGGTTCAGTCAGGTGACACAATTTTCTGTGACACAGCACAAATCTTCCAATATCAAATCTCACAACAACACCACTTTCTTGTTCAGTGATGAGGTCGCTGTCTCCATTCGACTTGGTATCTTCTGGTTCATCTATTGGTGACTCTTCCATGCTTTCTGGAGCTCTCTATCCCTCTGCGGATTCACAAAACATGTTTTGGTTATTCTTTCATGGAGAATGGACATTCTATTACTGTTATATGAAACACTAGGTCTATTTGGCGTAAGCGTAACATGAAAGAATAACCCATGTTTTGGTGCTTAGTGACCGCGCTATGATTAAGCAGCCTCGCATTGTCGCCCAGGGCCCGGTTACTCGAAAGATGAACATGGGCTTTTTTACCATGCTGATATAATACACAAATGAGAACGGGCAGGTTGTGGTTTGGTGTGTTTTATATTTTTCTTTTTTTGTTGTTTGTTTGTTTTTTTTTTTACGTAAATATATTGACCGTATTACGGAATAGGAATAAACGGAATAAACTAAAGAATTCACTTGTTTTATCGTTCAGAGTCGTTGCCGTTTTCCACATTTGTCTAAGACAATAGGTTTCCAAGTTTGTGGAGTCTGCTCGCTGATAACGGATTTTATTCTTTAGAGATTTCAAAGAGAAAACTGTTGTTGCTTGAGATATCTTGAATAAGTCGTAACTGTTCGTTAGTAGGATGCCTAGAATGTGTGCTATCCCACAATTAGTTTCGGCTCCATTATATCCGATACCAAATGTTATACATGTCACGGGGAGGCACCTACAATGCGAGCACAGTTACTGACAAGGAATGTGAATAGGAAAACAGTCCAAAAAAAACCCTAATGTGTTTTGGTGCTTCTTTGAAAAACCAGTGTCTTAAGTATCTAAATGAAGTGCAAGTGTCATTAATCGCCAGAGAAAAACTCCACCCCATTTACATCAGAACCAACGCGTTAATTGTGCATTTGGTTTTAGAGCGATCTTGCAAATATCTGAGCATTGTAAGAAACTCGGTGACTCACGCTGAATTTCTATTCAATTTGGCATTGTAAAGTCCAACACCCTTTAATGTTTTTACACACATATGTACAAATATCAGCGATAATTCGGCATTAAAAAACTGGTTATATCACACATTTCCCGGAAGCCCTTTCTTGCAAACGATTAGGCTGTACTTGAACAAAGTATTAAGTGGGCTTCTCCATTAAAAAGGTATTCAGTTGCTTTTGGCAAAGAGGGGTATTTCTCAACCACAGCAAGTTACTCTCCGCAATGGCAAAGCTTCTCAGTACATTAACTTAAGTAACTGAAACTAAACTGAAATAGAAGCGCGCCAAAGTTCAAGATATTGAGGACAATCGCAGACACGCGCAATATTACTGTTCAAAACGGAGTTTAATCAAATTTTTCTTCCTGCAAATTCTCTCTTTCATGCTGTATTTGATCTGCGTGTCCAGCATACAAATGCTCCTTTCGCCACTTTATTCTCCTGTTCTGAAACCAGATCTTGACTTGGGTCTCTGACAAGTTTAACTCTCGCGCGAGACGTTCTCTTTCAGTGCCGACCAAATACTGTTGCCTGTCGAAAGCTGACTCCAGTCTTTTCAGCTGATCAGAGGTGAATATGGTTCGCTTGCGACGTTTCTTTGCTTCTGGTTTTTCCCTTAGTCCCACGGTAAGACTGCCTGTGAAAAGCATAAAAGATAAGGAGATGAGTAGATTTAGGGATAAACGCTAAGACTGAAACTTAAATATCAAGAGAGCAAGCAAAAACAGCAAGCGCGAGCGAAATCACGCGTGTGACCCCTCCACGAAAAGGCAAAATTTCACCTGCGTACGCTCTGGGAAAAGTAACGGACTACGACTATGATTCGTAAAGCAACCACCGTGATAAAGACCGTCATTTATTTACTATCATGCCCGTATGTTTTGAACATATTGAACGTCAATTAGCTTCAATTATATTCCGGACTAAACGACTGATCAAATTTGCTAGTATTTCAGTATAACTTGAACATTACCGCTATACATCGGAAATTGTTTTCTTGAAAGTTAAACAAATTTAATAAAAAGATTACCGCCCTCTTACTACGGTTTATGTAGTGTATATTTAAGAATGATTAGATATTAATTTGCGTTCTACAACTTCGATTATCTATTCAATTGTCTTGTTGTCACAATGTAGTCAAGTGAATTTCTTTTTTGAAAGCACTTTATTGAATCCATGAATCGAATGTTCATAAGTTGTGTTACTTGCCTTACACTGACTTATTTTGCGGCAGTTAACCTGACGTGCCATGAATTTTTAGCTAAGAAAAATACTAATGATTACACAACTGAACCTAAAACTGTCCTCAAAATTGATTTCGCCGCTTTTAAACCTAATAAAACTGCCCTGTAAAACTGTAGCTTTGCACGTTCCATTTGGACTTTAAAACAAAAAGCTTTCCTACAAAAAACTGACTTATTGCACTAAAAAGTCTTTTTATTGAATCGACCCTCTAAACCAAGAGTATTTAGGTTATATCTTGTCTTGATAAGCAGATAGTCGTTTTGTTACGTAGTCTAAATCAGTCTTCTATGATCTCTTTTGATCAAACACGAATAAATTAACGAACAATTACTTTTGATTATGTTTGAAAAAAATGTACAAAAAACAATAACCCGTAAAATAATGTTCAAACACAGAACGGGAAATCTTACAACTTATTTTTAATATAACGCAGCACGCAATAATTTGCTCGCGATTTGATTCTAAGGCTTCTTTAATAGACGAAACAATTAAAGAATAGATTTTAACATGCGGTCTGTCACACTGGCATCAATGCGAAGCCCAAAAAGAGCGTCAACGCATGTAGGTGGTATAAATTAATCTTAACCTGAACGACGAGTTTCTTGGATAAAACGGGATGCACTGCATTAATAGTGTGGATCAAGTTTGCAAAAAAGAAAACTTATTTAGTTACGTTTTTACCTACCATGTTGTCTGCCATGTGATGTCTCGCTGAACGGATAAAACAACTGCTGGCTTGTTGCAAAACAGTGAGATGAAGCTGGAAAATAAAAACTCGTTGGCCGCGAAATGACGCCGAAGGATGTAGATGGGAGAAAAGGAGACCGTTCTGCTTTTGAGTAGAACCTTGGATCTCCAGGGATTTGTAGGAGCGAACTGGCTTGCAATCTCAAATGAGATTCGCTGGATTTCTGGTACGAAAGCGAAGAAGGACAAACATGCTCCGTGTCGTTTCTGCCATCCATGCAACTAGGATAGGGACACGAGCAATAGGAACGGAAGGATGACTGGTACAAGCCTCCCGACTGCATTTCACTTTTTTAAGAGCAACAAGTACTAATTTGAGAATATTATTAGTCTTGGTTCTTGCCCAGGAGCCAGCTTTGAGAATCTAAGTGGACAATAATTGAGTAATCGTATTTATTGATACTGTGTTGCCTGACAACTCGAAGGTTCTTACAAACACGTTAGCAACTTATTTAATCCAGTTATGAAGAAAACACGGCAAACGTAGCCATTGTTTGCGATTTATTTTGATGAAAAAACGCTTTCAATGGCAAGTATGAATACAAGCAGTTCCCGAGATGTGTTGTACAGAGCAGTGCTCGTTAATTATGCAGTGTTTGGTATCAACATCAAAGGGGTCATGTTTGAAAACGTGCGCCCCATTGCGGTTCAGTACGCGCTAAAAGCTAAATTGTTTGTAATGTTGACTTTCTGTTTCCACTCTTGTCATAATTTTGATGTTTGCCCAGCATCTACTTGTTGTCAAAGTTTGGTTTAACGTGATCCATTAGTGTAATGTCCCAATTTTTTCAACAGGACAAACTAATTTTATCAGTAGGGGCTAACTAACGAAGTATACATGCTCGTTGGCCTGGCAAGGTCTAAAAAAAGGTTCGGTCTGAGGGAGCAAAACATAGTCAAAGGGACAGAAGTTGTTAGAGCTGTTGCGGAAGATAACTTTATCATTTATACCATTTAAAACTTTCAATCTATATTTTGCAATTGGTCCTACGGCCTCAGTTGTGCGAGGGACAATTTGAGGGAAGAGGGGATGTGAACGGAAACAAGCCAAAAAAACGGGCCTAAGTCCAAAATCAATTTACCCTCTGAAATAAGAGTTTCAAGCTGAAAATCTATTCAATCAGGTGGTACGCTATCACTTAAATAATGATGCTTGTACGATCCTAATTAAATAATACTTTTGTAAAAAAAAAATTACAAAAGGAAGTGTAACTGTGAACCCTTTGATTCTTTCAAACCAACATTACCCCTCACTAAACTTTATTTTTAAAGAAGACTGACATGCAATGACGCTGATGTTATCGCCGTAGAATCACAAAATTAAAATCAGACAACGACGCCCCGTTCAGACATTAACCTTGGTTAAGTCAAAATTGCTTGATTCCAAAAATTAATGTCAAGAAAATCATAGCGACCAGAAGTGCGTACTAAAAACGTTTCCGTCTGGTTTTGTTCTCTTCTCTTAATGCATGGCTGAAACATAAGCTGCAAAGTGATTTCGATAAATTCGTGATTATGTTAAAAGAGGTGAAATGTGTAGCCGTTTTACCAATGACTTCAATTATCACATTTAATTTATTCTCTGGCATTTCAATCGTATGAGTATTATTTTAAGAGTATGACAAATGATACGGTAAAATTTGATAAAATACAACAACCTATGTCTTACTTTTCATATTTTTTGCTTTAATGCATTAAACCGCAAAACATGCGATTCTATATATTTTACATTGAAATAATGACTTTTCCCCACGTGGTTTCAAATCCCGTTTTGAATGACTAATGTACAAAATGAATTTGAGATTTCTTTTATTATAACCTTGAACGGACATAAAGAATAGCTAATTGCCAAACAAATTAAAAATTGTATTCTTACTTTACAACGCTTTCTTTTGCTTGAAATGCGCGCTGTACAAATTTATTGATGATCCTTAGAAATGTTGACATCAATCTCTTCGCTTGCTCTGGAACAGTCAGAGACAACAAGAAACGATTATTTCAAGGAGTACAGAAACTACAATGAGGTCAGCTAAAAGAGAGGGCAGAAATGTCTAGGACATTTGGTCGGTAGTCAGGGAGAGCGGTTTTCCTCTGCAAGAATGCGCCTTGCATTGTGTGCTACATAATGCAGTTAAATAGTTCAATTACATTCAAAAACCGAAGCCGGAACTTCTTAAACGACAAACAACTAGAGCTATATTTTTTAATGGCGTGAATAATGACTGAAATGACGGCCAACAAAATGGCTTAATAATACCAACGATATAAATGAAAAGGATTTAGAGGAAAATAGTGAAGACGAGTAGGCGTTCACTTTCCAGCCTGAATAAGAAAAGTTCCCAGTTCAGAATTATTTTCTCTAAAGAATTCAAATAACCTTGGTTTAACACAGAAAGCATTATCATATCGTAGCTAGTCGATTCGGCCACTAACCACTTGCTTACCCAGTGATCTGTATACATAAGATACACCATAAGCTTATTATGAAGAGAAACTAGCTTGGTTTTTTCAGTAGTCACAAAGCAAAAACAATCCTCTTTAAAAACTAGTAGTTCTACCAAAAAAAAGGCTTATTGTGATCTTTAACCGTCTGTGAATTGGCGACGCGATGGCTGTAGCAACTGAAAGAAATGTCAGTGAAACGTGATTCGGTAAAATGTCTCTGCAAAACACTGAATAACAAAAAGCAAAGATATAGGATTGTTTCGGTCAATTTACTAATAATTATTATACACCAAACACTACCCTAGAGCTCGACTCTTGTATGAGTGCTATCAAGAAAATTGATTAGAGAGTTGCAGCAGAAAGTAAAGAAAAACACAAGGCATAAATCAATAAATAAATGATAACAATTTCAGTCTATACATGTGCCCCTGTGGTCTCTCGTTATGATTTATAGCCGATATCAAATTTATTACAAAGGTTTTTATCATGCTTCATTCATGCACAATTCTTACCATCAAAGATCTCTTGAGTGATCTTACGATATACTCATAATTTGACACAGTTTTACTCTTTCTGAACTGATAAATTGTTCAATTTCGAGTTCTAAAATCAGGCCTCCCGCACGGCCAAAAATTAATTGGCGTATCTCTCCCAACGAAATTATAATTTTTACGGCAATTTTCTTCTCACTATTAATAGATTTAACAATGTATTAAGGTAGTATCAAGTCGTTCCCTGGAGAGAAGAGCAGGACTTATGAAAACAACTCAATAGATTAGGTTTCATTGAACTTCTACCTCCTGGCGATCAGATTGTTTTCGCTCCTTTTGTTGATAAAGATTGTTTGCAAACTACGGCCCACGGCTTCATTTAAACATAAAGGGTTATTGTTGGTTCCTAAACCGCCAAGAAATTGAACGCTGGAAAATACAACATGATCTCGAGCTTTCTGTTTGGCAAAATAGTTTCAGAAAATCCGAAATTCTCTATTTATTCAACGCAAGAGATCAATATCATACGCGCAAGTACTTTTGTTTCTATTTTGTGGCTGTAATATTTATAACATGCGCAGGCAAACTTACGTAATGCTCTATTCTAAATATTTGACGTTGTACTCTTCAAATTTAATTTTGACACGGCAAAAAATTGTGCTAATTTTTTTTATAATGTCCTCAGTTTATAGCATTCTTAGTAGTGGACATAAGTTTGTACATCATTGAAAAAATCTTTTTAAATTGTAATTACAACACAATCCTCTCATTCTCTCTTGTATGATAACAGATTTTCTTGTGGAGGCTGCTTAACCTGTGAAATGTCGCAGTTGTATACAGTCAAACTAAATCTCATTCAAAATCTTACTTTTCAACTGCAAGCTCACGACGTCCTGGCTAAACTATAGAAAATATTCTAGGCGAACAAATTTGTCCCTTATAAAGTTGGTAAAGTAATAAGAAAGATTTGTTCTGGAAGGAAGTTGATTTGCGATTCACTGATAAATTTTTAGTCCAGTGCATATGTCCGTAGCTGCAATTATGGAAACGAGAAAAAAAATTATTTGGGTGAATTTGATATGACGCCTTGGCCAAAAGGTCCGTTTGATCGAAGAAAATAATCCGAGTCAAAGCCTCCTGAGCCCAGATATAAAGGAAATCCATACAGGGCGAGGCAGAATTAAGATATTTACGACTGAGTGTCAAGTTTTCATGCTTGCTATTAAGCTGATTTGGTTTAGCTGAGAAAACTTTATCCTCCTTTTTACTCCTATCACCATGATGTAACTAAGTAAGCACGCGAGAATGTCTCAAACAAATTGCAAGCAGCTGAAGTACTTAACTCACGTGTACTGTACAGAAAACCCGTACTTTTGGCTGTCTACATTGCCTAAATCCTCTATCTATAAACAGTTATAACTTCTTTAGTACAGGCCCAGTTGAGTTCAGGGCGGGCGCGCGCGAGGCACGGAGAGAAATCGACACTTTTCTTGGGATTGTTTAGACCCGTTTATTAAGAGTAAAGAGAGGAAATCGAAGAATTTGTATCTTTCTGAACAAGCGTTTTGTTCCCAGTAACAGGAAAATCTTGCATGAGTCTTACGTCTTGGCCTTAGTAACCCACTGGCACACTTCAAGTAGATAGTGTTCTGGAATGACCGGGTATTTAAAAACTTTCATACTTTTAACACAATGTACCATGTTCGGATCGACTTTCAGTTTTCGAACTTCACGTTATGAGACGAACACAGCTTCGAAATCTACATTTATATTAACCTTCATGACAACATTGCAAGCAAACGTTCTTAAAAAAAAAAAGCCGCGGAAAATAAAGGTACAGAGCTAGAACTCTGTAGAGTTACGCTTCCGTCGTCAACTTTTTGGTTCAGTGAATATAGACTCACACTGTTTTGAGCTTCTGATAAGAATTCCTCATTGTAATCTTTAAAGGTAATTGCTCCCATAAATGGGGGAATTTTTATGTCCAAAAGTTGGGTTTAAAAGAACACCTATTTGTCTCTCTTTTCGGCGGTTTTTACTTTAACTGTCCTGCGTTACGGGGACTGAAAAACTCAGTTTTCTTTTTCATTTTTTAAGCTTCACTTTGCTTTGCGATGTTCTGTTCAAATGTAGACGAGTTGTTTTCTCTCGAAACGTGTTATTGTTTACTGGTAGATATGGCGAGAGAAACTAACAGAAGAATTTGATCGTTCAGGAATGGAAAAAAGCCTCACAGTATTTGTTTGCTCATTATATTCTGGGTGATCAGTGTTTGCTAGCATGGAGATTAGTTTGAAAGACTTAGCGCCAAAACCTGGTTTCCAAGTCAATATTTGTTTTTTAGAACAAATTTCGTAATGATTTCAGAATTCGCTGCAAGGGATGAGATGTTATATCGACTGAATTATGAACTTATAGTTACACAATTGCAGGTATTGAAAGATCAGGTTATTAGCTGGCACTGAGACACTCTTCTCTGCCTTGTTACCCCCCGGATTGCTAAAGCCAATGAAACAGTAAAATAAAATAAAACACGTGTCGTGATGGTAATGTACAGAAAGGTTTTATGTTTGAGTCCAAGATTCCAAGGTTTTGGCAAGTAAAAGAAATCTCGATTTCATACCACTGCCAACAGTCAGCTAAACAGTAATTTCCGGAATGTACATTTGTACAACTAGGCCAGCCGATCTTCTCCTTTTTTGAAACTGAAATTAGTGGACGGAAAGAATCTACCCCCTGGCTGGAAAGTATTAAAAAAGCCCGAAGCCTGCTTGAAATATAAAGCGCAAAATGCAGTCACAACTAAATTAACCAGTCTCTTTCTTTTATAAAACAATTCAAAAGATCTCGGTTTAATTATCTGGCTACAATTTGAGATGTACCCCCTAGTTCAACTACAATATTCGTTAAGTGCAAACTGCAACTACATCAACCATTAACTGGGTTCTTTTCGGTTCAAATGACATCAAATCCATATCTCCCAGGTGTTGGGGGATGAGCAAACTGAACTCTTGATAATAACGTTTGAAATTTTTCTCTTGTGTTACCTGAGCAGCCCAAGAAAGGACGATTTGGGAAAAGAAAGAAAGAAAAAGATTGCATGGGGACTTGAAAAGGTTTAACGGCCCTAAGGGCTTGGGTTACTTCCGAATATAAATAAATGAATAAATAAATAAATAAATAAAATAACGATTTAAAGGCAGCACATCAACAGAGCATTTCTTCGTCTTCCTTTCCTGGTCGAATTAAAGCACATGAAATTCATCCTTCGACAATACAGTTTTTCCCGGAACCTCTACGAACTTGTTCCTTTAACGAGGAATGTTTGCGCCTTCCGTGTTGAGACGCCCCTTCCCTGCTTGCACAGAAAAAATACAGTCGAATCTCTACTAAGGGCCATGCCTCCACAACGGCCATGTTTTCGTGGTCCGGGCCAGACAATTTACAGAGAAATATCAGAGACAACGAGAAATTTTCAAAACACAGCTCGTCTTTCCAATTTGGAAGGTCATCGATTCACCCTGATTTTACCCTCTCTACCACGGTAATGGCCACAAAAGAGCGTAATAAGTGCAGAATTCAGCATACGGGAGTCCTTCATAAGTGGAGGGGCGTGGGCCGAGCAGGAGCCTTAAATCTTTTTTAATTCCTCTCCTACCCTGAAGGCAAATGTTGTTGTTGTTTTAATGGAAAGGGGGACTTCTCCAGTTCTTTTCAATTGTACAAAAGCAGTGTTTTTACTGTATCTATGAAAGGAGGACTTTTTGTGGTATCAGAATACGAGTTTAGCACTCTGGATGTAACATCTCCGAACAAAACTTTGTCAAAAACCTCCCGCCCCCGCGACCCATCGTAAGCTTCTATCTTTTCCAAGAGGGCTCATAGGTTTGAGGTTTGCAAGGAACTCATTCGCATGAGACTGTCCAGGGTCCTTTTCGCTCATATGTTGCATACATAGTCACGAGGGATGCATTCACCAAAACAGTCACTGTTATTAAATAATTGTCCACATACAAGCCTTTCCAGCGCCGAACCCAGGGACTGTTTCGAAAATTTCGCTTTCAATGCGCTTGAAAGACAACTACAGAACTCTATGATCTGCACGAAAGAGGAGAACGTGACCACTACACTTCGCTAATCCATTGCCTGAGGTTTTGTTTTTTCCAAAACTCTAGTTCACCTTCTCGAGAGAGAATCCCTAAATAGCAACCGAAAATGGACTTCTTATCAAAACTCACACTTCTGACATTAACAGCCTTTATTCTAAAGCAACAATCACTAAAAATTTAAATCACGAGTCTAACGCGGAACGTCGATACTTCGTACACAACTTCAACATTACTCATTCATAGCAACTGGTCGATCCTTATTACAATGAAATACAAGCAGAACAACAGACAAATTATTAACATATAAAAAAACAGATCTGGTGGGAAAATATATGAACTCGGGCAACATGTACATGCTCATAATAATGCTTTCTTGTGCCATTTTAAACGAGCAACAATGCAGGTGTAGTTTAGTTTATCAACTTGTCAACTACCGTAAAATTTCGAAAATAAGCCCCTCCATGTATAAGCCCACCAAACTCGTAACGCACAAAACCCTCCGTTAAATCGCCCCTCCAAATATAAGCCCCCCGGGGGCCTTGTACTCGGAAATTGCCCTCAAATACAAAGTAAAACAAAGAAACAACGGTAAATTTCCTTCCATTTATAAGGCTAGCCCAATCGATTTTGAAACGCAAATTTCCCCCCGTAGATAAGCCCCTCCGAATATAAGCCCCTCCAAAAATAAGCCCCTGAAAAAGGGCCTTATAAGAATATAAGCCCCGGGGCTTATTTTCGGAATTTTACCGTATGTTAATCTTATGAATGCAAGCCCCAAATGTCGAGGACAAAACCCTTCCAACAGCTCCCCAGAATGTAGACGTGTATTTAGGTTTTAGTTTCAGTTTGGTACCACCTTAAAACCTAGCACTAGGCCAACCTCGTTCCCAGGGTGTGAATTGGAGAGGACCATGGGAACGAGGTTGCTATCCTGCCACTTGAACACTAGTCTGAGCAAGTTTCAACAGCGTTCGTAAGCTGAAATAAAAATACCTTTTAAAAAAAGGCACACAGGCGTGCATTTTGTAACAACTTTTACAATTCGGTTGACTTTCTTATAGTAGGCAGAATCCATTTTGTTCTTTTGATTCATTATTCGGCTGCCCACATGTGTTTCTCACCTTTGTTTGAAGTGCTTTACAAAGACTTAAAATATCGCCTTGAAATACATAGACGAAATGAACATTTGGTAAAAAGTAGACTCGTCAAATAACTGACAGAATCGCACAACTAACAAGTCTGAGGAATACTTTTTCGTGCGCGTTAGAGGCAGCAGGATCTTAAGGAATACTTTAGCACACCTCGTTTTACAGTCATTTGCTAGTTACCCAAAAGGAAATACTTTCAATTAGCAAACAACAAGCCAATTGCCTACTGCAAGAAGTGGTCGTCACTGACCAAAAATCCCTAGCTTGTTCAATATGCATAGCATGTTGCCGTTTGATTTACTTATATTGGAAATTTTACGGTGAGGAGCTATACAGATTACATAACTAATGCTCAGGTGAAAAGCAAACAACGTTAGATTTGCCCTTACTCATTACAATTTTAGATTCTTGAGTAAATTTAGCTAAATATATCTTGCTTTTAAAGTCAGAATCGCCTGAGAAACTTGCCAGTCATGATAGTGCCACCGGCGAAGTCAAACATCCGGCTTCACTCTTTCTCATGAGCTGCCGAGTACTAAGCCAGGTATAGTTTGGTCCATAAGCCTAGCTGAAGTTCTCAAGTAAATTGCAATAAGATATCTTCCCCAATGCAATGTCACGATTTAACAGCGAAACTTTGACGCACCAACTGAATACTAAGCCAAGCGTAGTGTAGTCCATAAGCCTGGCTGAAGCTCTGAAGCAAAGTACAATAAGATATCTTCCTCATTGCAATGTCACGATTTAACAGCGTAACCTTGACGCACCAACTCCTCACCGATATCGACGGCACCATCGGTAAGTGTTACAACCAAATAATCTGACAAGCGATGAACAACTCTGGCCTTTAGCTCTCGATTTAATATATACCCCAGCCACCTTACTGCCTCTTGGTTCCATACTTGATGAATAGGGCGAATATTCGCTAAGCTGAGCTTGAGGGCTTGCGCCGGAAGTCGAGAGAACTCATCTTTCATGGGCCGTATCCTGTCAGTCGATAATAGTTCACTATTGCCGAAGTCCACATATTGAACACCAACTTGTCCCGGTGATGGACATTCTAACACACGTGCCCTGTACCATCTGCCATCTTGGCTAAACTGTGCACAGCATTCCTGGCCAGGTTGTGGGGCTGAGGTGGGCACAGACGCAGTCATACAATACTCGTTGATCTGATCCATGAGAACATTAAGTGAAGTGCGAGCCTCTGCATCTAGAACTTGACCCCAAATTTCTCCAGGATGAATCACGTCTGTCACAACAACGTCGAATTGATCTATGCCTGGGCCAGTCCACTGAGCCGTTGCGTTGTCAAATGATTTGGCAAAATTGCGTTGAATCATCTCTTGGTTGATGGAGATCCCTTGTTGCTCACTGGGGTCGGTTTCAAACAACTGAACGCCAAATGAAAAACCGTCTCTTTCTGTGCTATCAACAATTATGAAGAAAGGTTGAGGCTCTGGCTGAGATGTAAGACGTTCTTTCAAGAAGTTGACAACATCAGTCGACCAATTAGAGCCTGACGTTGGCTGGACCCCTGACAGAAAGCATTCCCTGGCTTGGATGGGAAGATGAGTAAATGAAGGTATGATTTTTCTGATAAAATCAACTGCGACAACGTCTTCGTTCCCATAATCAACAAACACTACCATCATTTTGGACTCCGAGACTTCTTCCTGAACAACGGCACGGTACCACCCTTGGTCCTTACTGAACTGAGCACAACACAGTTCTCCCTTAACGGGTTTGTAGGGAGTGGTGTCAATGGTAGAGCAATGGACAGCTAACTTTTCCCATAATTCCACAAGACCTTCGACGTTCTCTTCATTCAAGACTTGAAAATACATCTTGTCTGGCCGATGAAATTCACTGATAAGGACTTTACACGACGTGCCATGCGGAACATCAGCCAAGCGTACAGCTGAGGCGTAAACGCGCGTGTCATCGGTGGGATCTGCTGGGGCTGAATGCAATGGCTGATCACCTTGGTTTCCTGAATAACTTCCATCAAACGGCAGGTTGGGTCTTGCTAGTCCCTGTCTAATGAGAAATTGGCCCAACGACTCCTGCGACTGCGGCAAGGACACGTCAACAAATAGAAGTCCCCTTTCCTTTTTAACTACTCGGGCATGAACGCGACTATTTTGCGGTGCTTGTGATAGTATAGCTTCTTGGGCATCGACAGACCAGCCATTAGGATGAGCAGGCAAAATTCCCGACAAAGAACACTTTAGGGCCATAGGAGGAACCTGGAGGAATTGCTTTTCTAGAGGGCGCACGTGAGTAAAGGGAAGAACTTCACTGTTGCCATAATCAAGGTAGTGAACATGCACGGAGTGATCTGGATTAACGAGGTCAATAAAGCCTCTACACCAGTCTCCACTTTCGGAAAAAAATCCTGCACACATTCGGTTTGCTTTGGCTTGAATATGTGGATAACTTACAGCATTGTAGTGAGCGTTCAGATCCGCTGAGAGCTGTGTCATCATTTGTACCATGTCATGACTTAGAACCTGGACAAAAATAGAGCTCGGTGAGGACACGTGTGTAATCATGGCGTCAAATGAATCCGAAACTGCAATTGACTGGATAGCTGGGTTAAACACACGTGACTCAAGATTTCCATCTGGTTTTCGAGATGATGTGCTGCTAGTTGAATGCCGACTTGCCGGCGCCGAATGTTGAGAATGCTGTCTTTGGTGATCCATGCGAGGGTCACTTCTTCCTAAACTCTGAGCCGAGCCTTCATTCAGCAACAATTGGCTCAAAGACAGGGGCGAATCCCTTGACATAATGAAGTCCACAAACAGCATGCCAGGGTGTTTATCCAACACTTTAATGGCAACGCGATCGACTAAAACATTTTTTTTAATCAGTTCCATTGCCTGAACTGACCAGCCAGGAGGGTCGGGTTTCGCAATATTTGCTAAAGAACACGGCAACGCGAAAAATGGAGCCGAAGTGAACTGCTCTTCCAGTGGCCTGATGCTTGACAGAGGCAACTGTTCAGTGTTCCCGAAGTCAACATAATGCACGTCCACCAGATTGTCAGGAGCGATGCCTTTAATAAATGCACGGCACCAGTCACCACTTTCACTGTACAGGGCTGCGCACAGCTGCTTCGGCTGAGGTTGGTAAGAAGTTGGTACTGAGGGACCATAGAACATGTTCATATGCTCTGACAGATTCTTTAACTTCTGAGCTAGATCACGATCCAAAACTTGCACGAAGAAAATACCGAAAGACGTTACCTCCGTGACCATCACATCAAAGTACGATTCGTCTTGTGGCAGTGATGCTGACTGGATTGCAGGCTGATACACAAACGATTCAAGCAGGTCGAGACTGTGTCTTTCTGGACGATCTCTCGGTGGTGATGTAACGGGATTAACGGTGATTTGATGCCTGGATAAGTTATCTGTGCTTTGTTGATTACGGTTGTCTCCTCTACCCAGAGTCTTTGCCAAACCTTGTTTGACCAACTCTTTGCCGACACTGTCGCCCGTTCCACTTAGTGTTACGTCCACAAAGAGTCTTCCTCTTCGTCGCCCAACTATGCGAGCACTACAGCGACTGTTTTCTGGTAGGTGAGTTTTCACAAATGCCATACTTTCATCAGACCACCCTGCTGAACCTGGAGGAGTCACGTTCGCTAAAGAACATCTGAGCGCAGCAAATGGAACAGCATTGAAGTTAAACTGATCAAGGAGAGGTCGCAACCGATCGGGTGAAACAAATTCAGTGTTTCCGTAATCGACGTAATGCACATATGCTGATCCATCTGGAGACGTTCCCTTGATAAAGGCTCGACACCAATCTCCACTCTGACTAAAGTGTGCAGCACAGAAAACATTCTCGTGTGCAACAAATGGAGCGTAACTTACAGCACTGTAATGTTCATTCATATCTTGTATCAACCTGGCATTCTTAGTAACAGACTCCACACTTGCATTCTGACAATAAATGAGCTCTGGAGACACCACCTCTGTAATCAAAACATCGAATCTTCCGTCTTGTGGCGATGCAGCTGCTTGGACAGCGGGCTCAAAAACAGCAGATTCTATTTGACTCCTTGGAGCTGCACCATCATTCGAACTGGCAGAGCTTACCGAATTTAAAGGAGACTTCCTTGGTTGTTCATCACGTGGGCTATTTAACACAGGGGCACCTGGGGCTCCTTGCCGCTGTGGCTCCGGGATTTCCGTTCCTCTTTTGCCATCCAGCTGATGTTTAGTTCCATCTTTACGAATGAATGCATCTGCTAGTCCTGTGAAAAAAATACAAACAATAGTCAATAGGTGAACTTTTCACTACGCAGTGAAAATTAGTGAATATTATAGCGAACTCACCCATTGTGACATTACAGGACACGAAAGAAATACAACCTACAAAGACAAATAAACCTAAATTCCCGTTACGTCATCAAAAATAAGTATCTTACGCGTGAAAATATGGGAAGAAATGTTTTATCACTGTGCCAAGATCTCCCTTACTGTGACATTGAGAAGACAGTGAGCACCAGAAATATCTATGGAACGTTATTGTGTAGCAAGGAAAAGCCAATCGAGGGTGAGTAAACTAAACCGCAAACATCAGCGGTAATTAGTTACTGATTCTGAGGTTTGCTAATGTAACCTGATCTTTATTGTGACTGGTCACTTGAAAATCAACACATCACTCCTTAAATATTTCAGGTGTTCAGGGTTTTCCGAGTTTCACAGAAATTACTTGAAAACAGCACTATGAACATCCTTTGATGACTAGACAAGGAATCTAACACAAAACGCTAACCAATGTAATTCAATACTTGCGCCTTAACCCGTTGTAGAAACCCACGCCCTAACGCGCAACAAGTGTTTTCAGGTAACGGTAATAAGGCCTTTTTATTTCGTTGGGAACTTATTGAAAGTTTTATTCACTTAAACCTATGTCTAGGAATTTTTTCCTGCGATTTGTGTTCAAAAACGATACAAGCTAAAATTTAGTTGCTGCGTTAGCCTGTGAGATAACTTTTCAAAATATCACCCGATGAATAGTAGAGTCCGTGTTCCATCAAATTGCAATTAACGATTAACGTACTAAGTTGAGAGGTGAAGCTTCCGTACCTGACGTTATCAGCGAGTTGGCCACGGTCTGATTCCAGTTCTGCTGAGGATCAAGAAGTTCAACAATATTGACAACACCATGAGTATGAACAATCCTGCACATATATTGCTTATTAGCCACAAGAGTCTTGAACTGTCGTATTGCATCGGGACTCCAATCTTGTCCTTTAGGTTTCTTGACACCCGCAAGTGAACATTGGAGAGACAAAGGAGGAAAGCCTTGGAACTGCTGAGGCAATGGTCGTATAACACCTTCTCCCACCACCTCACTGTTGCCAAAATCTGCATACCGAATTCTAAAACTACCAGGGTTCTTCTCCAAAATTACAGCTCGATACCACTGATTGTCCATCGAGAATCTAGCAGCACACATCTGCCCGGGACGTAAAGATGCCGTACTCTCTGGCGTATAAGAAGTCGTAGTCATTTGCTGGTTTAAATCTCTCATCAATACATTTAACTGATCTAGGAGCTGAAAATCCGTTTTTTGTGCATAGAATTCCCAGGGACTGACAACAGCATTGACGACAATTTCAAACGGTGATTTCCTTGCACTTTGACCGGTGGAGTTCATTGAAGAATCTTGACGCTCCTTAGGAATCCTATTGTGGTCTGATTGACGAGGAGGTGATCTGAGTTGATGCGTTGCATTTTGTGACTCATATAAATTGTTTGACTGCTGAAATGATCGTCTCTGACCGTTATTGAAAACGGGTTTGGGGCCATTATGTTGACGTTGCATGTTACTTGGTGCACCTGACTTATTTTCATACTGTTGGGGTACATTTAAGGGCTTATGGTTACTTGGTGAAGAAGGGATTCTTTCTCTTCTCTTGGCAAATCCAGCTTCCATTAAACTATCGTTGATTGCGGTGTCAGAGTTCGTTTCCTTAGGGTCAAATAACTTTACAAACAATATCTCATTGTAACGTCCACAGACCTGTACTTTGCAATTCATGCCCAGAACTTTACTCTTGACAAAAGCAGTGGCTTCTGATGACCAACTTCCAGATACGTCAGTACTTGTTATTCCATTGAGTGAGAGCTTTAGAGCTTGTCTCGGAATCATTGCGAGATCTTCAGTTATACGACGCACTTTATCTACTGTGATGTCCTCGTGATTTCCAAAATCTATGTATGTCACCCTCAAAGTACCTGTATTGTTAACAATGTCAACCTTTGCTCGGTACCAACAACTGTCAAAACTAAACTGCGTCACACAAACTTCACCACCAGTTGGAACATAGTTTTCGTAGACGGAGTTACAATAGGAGGCTTGAAGTTTCTTTTTCAGTTGATCCTGCCTCTCTAACGCTTCAGGGGTACACAGCTGTGCCCACACACAGCTAGGGTTTTCGACTTCTGTAACAGCCACTTCAAACAAACTTTCCGACACACTTTCCATGGAAAGTTGCTTGATGAAGAAGCGTCTAAGTCCATTGGAACATGTTGCAGCTTCTGCAGGCCTGAGTTGATCCATCCCCGGGGCAGAGTTGCAACTTTGTTGTGTAGGAAGTGGCTGCTGGCTGGGTCCCTCGCTTGGTGGTATAGGAACCTTGGGTGAAATGTCTTGAGGCTTACTGTTATCTAAAGAACACGAAGATGACTTGTCAGTATCATCCGAATCTTCACTTTGTTTCTTTTCGCCAAACTGCATCTGGCTGATGTCAAAACCTAACGCCTTGGCAAAAAATTCAGGATTTGTTACATGAAAGCCATCTATTTTCATGGGATCCATTTCATCCTCTGAATCCGAGCTGGCCTTTGCGTCAAGATCCCCCAAGTTAGAATTGGCTACACCTGCTTCAAGTATATGCACAGAATCGCCAGGGGTTACTTTTGGGGAATCTGTATGCTCCTGAGTGTGTGTGGATGGTTGCACAGGGTCCCCAGCAAGTACAAGTGGGGAATCTTTCTGGTCTTGGATGTGTGTAATTGGTTGCAGTGTGTTCGCAGGGGAGGTGGGGAGGGACGTTTCGAACTCCTGGCAAGTCTCTGGTTTAGATGTTTTGCTCTCAGCTGCTGATTTTCGTGGACAAACAAGCTTATGCTTTGGCCAATCATTCTTTTGACATTCTCGACTGCAGTATGGGATTTTACACACAGAGCACCACTTATGCCCTAGTTGGCCGCAGAAACTGCATGGTTTTCCTTAAGAAAAAGAAAGGAAAAAAAAACAATTTAGCAAAGCTGACCTGGCCAGAAAATGATACAGTTGAGAGAAAAAGGTGCGAACTCGGGCTGAAATAATTTCACCTCGGCCTCCATACTTGTGGTTCCTATGGTTTACTTGATACTGGTCTGAAAAGCCATTTAATATCTCTCATTTTATCCAAAAGCTGATCCAAAACATGTAATTTAAAACTATTTTTGGGAACCACACGAATACCAACCTACAGCTGTACAAACGTGTAGAAACTTTCTTTCCGTAGAGCAAATTGAATGCCTTGAGATGTTAGACAACCTCTTCAACTTTTTTTAGTAATGGATGTTGGTAATAACATATTTGTCAACTACTCCTTTAATTAAATGGAGCATGGCCTTGGCTAAGTCTTATGATTAAGCCTGTACAACTTGTAGGTTTAGTTTTAAATATGCCTTTTTCAGAAGCTTTGTGCAGCAATGAACTCACAAAGACAACAGCTCTTTGGCGCTTATTTGAGAAGCTCAGTTAACAAAAGCGAAGAAGTAACAAACAAGGTTTCTGTAAAAAGACACTTAATTGGGTGGGGTGGGAGTGAGTGCTTATTTGAGTTTGATTGGGGGAGGAGCTTATTCGAGGCTGGGAGCTTATTATCTTTTTCTGCCTTTAGGATATTTTTGGCGCTTATTCGAATAAATACGGTACGACCACAAGGCAGCTATTTTTCATTTTTCATCCACACAGTACATAGATGCTACTTATCCAGTACCTGAAACTGTTACAGTAGACTTGGCAGAAGAAAGTAATGTATCCTGAATGCTTCGTTCATCTGTGCTGCAAGAACGCAAATGGACAATCTAAGTATTATGGAAAGTCTCACAGCCACACTCTGACCATACCAAGTAACTGGAATCTGTCATGGATATGGGCAAAAAAGGCTTTGCTGAAACATTCAAGTCTCATGTTGTATGTTTTCTCCTTTGATAAAAAAGACCCATGCTGTTGCTGGTATTGATTATTTTAAGAACATTCATTATCAAAAAGTAGTCTTCACTATGTAGATCTTAAGCATTTAAGGGCAAACTGAGTGGTTTAAAAAGCAGCTATTATATGGGGTAAATAGAAACATTTTCCCACATTATCCAATTTTCTGGTAAGTAAGTGGAGCAAATAACAGGATTGCAACTTTCAGTTCTTGAAACGTACAGTACATGTATTTCAACGCTTCCCACATCGTCATCAACTTATAGAGGCCCATGAAGATACTAGCTTATCTTTAGCTACATTAAATTCGAGGTTAAATAAAGTATATGTATGTATGCATGTATGTAATGCAATGTTCGCCTTCTTTCATAAAACCCAGCCACTTCATTTCACCAACTACTTCGATTACAACATTAAACATACTTTTCAGGAACAAAACGGAGGTGAAACAAAGTCAGAAAAAGATACAGCTAATTTTGAATTTCTTTCGCTTTTAAATGGGGTATTGAGCTTACTAGACTCAAAGCAGTCTCTTAATTTTCTGAGTAACAAGGAGACCAAGAATGGCAATGTCCTAAGATAACTTTGAAGAACTGTGCGGTTAACTAAAAAGATGGCCCGAGCAGTTAATAAGCCTGATTAGTGTTTTCTGTAGCTAAGGAAGCAATTGAGCTAACCACTGCCTCGTTAGCTCAGTTGGGAGAGCACAAGTCTGCTGAGCAGGAGGTCGTGTGGGTTCATAATCCTGCCGGATCAACTCTCCGGTGGTCTGGAGAGGTCGATGGGATAGGTGGATTATAAATTTTTTCCCTTCATCAAACCTCCCAGGGATTTCCTTACACCACACTCCTACAGACTTTGTTTAAAAATCAGACTACAAAGGCTCCTTGCAGTTGTATTGAACTTGCAGCGTTCTGCAAATGCCCTATTGACAACACCTGAAATAGTTTAGATTTGGGATACTGCATACCTTTCAGATGGTCCCTTATCATCACTGTCCTGTACACCATTACATGTAACACCATTCACTTTAGGCTCCAGTTCATCAAGGTCTGCAAGGGTAGGCTTCTGTCTTGTTTGTGCAAGCGCCACCTTGAGCCTGACTCCCTGCCCCAGATCAAAGCCATCAAACTTCTGTATAGCTGTCTCGGCTTTACGTATAGTCTCAAAGCCTACAAATCTACAGCAAATAATTATTGCAACTTTGGTTAGAATCCGAGAAGCAACTCCATGAAAAATTTCTTCCAAAATGCAGTAGTCATGCTTTAATATGCAGACTAAACAACAATCTTTTAGGACACTTCTTTTAAAACACCCTGCTATGCCTTGTACATGAATTAATTTTATTATGGCTACAAAGTATACCTCATAGATACTACTGAGGGTAAAATATAAAAAATGAGCACTGACAAATTTCAGAGCAGATGCGTATGCACATCAGGTTAAACACGTGCACATAATTCCAGGTGCATATTATGCATACATTTTGGTTTACGTAGTAATGGTCTGAGATGTAATAATAAGGAGAGAATCTGATTTTATGGAAATAAGAACAATACTTGTTATGGTCCAATATTGCCCTCTGTTTTTAGGTAGGATAGTGTATAATATAGTTGAAACATTATAGGAGAATAAAATTTGAAACAAGAAAAAAAAATTGAACCAAGTCATATATTTAATTAAATTAATTACCCAATATTGCTATCTTTGTGCTGTTGTTTAACAAGTCTACAGAATGTCAGCTTTCCAACCTGACTGAAGAGATTATGTAATCCTTCCTGGAGTTCAAACAAAAAAGTGGTCTTCAGTTATGACACAGGTACAAACAGGCATACAAAATTACTGCATTCACTGATTACAGGGTTCATACAGATTTTTGGATCCAAAATGCAAGACCTTTTCCCAGACTTTTTCCAAAACAATAATTTCTTTTTCCATACTCAAGATTATCAAATAGGTGATAAATAGAGACCTTTATAAAATGAAGAAAAAAAAGCATTTCCATGATGTGCTGCAAACGTACAAATGAGATTGAATAAGATTTGGCCAGCACAAAAAAAAATTTCTCTTGTAACTTTCAAAAAAACACTCTCAAGACTTTACCAATATTTTTTCCAGGACTGGAAAATTGCTGGGCAAATTTCAAGACTCTGTATGAACCTTGAGATTGCATATATGTATAGTTACAGTTTTCATGTAGGTTGCCCGACAGACAAGCAATGGTAGAGAAAACTTGATAAAGAAAAACCTATCTTTGGATCTTCATAACAATTCATTACTCCTTTCAATCTCAGAGTAAATGACGAAGTATGGAATGGATGGAAAAGTCTGGGAGAGACAATGATACTAGTATACAGATGAAGAAAGTGGGCAAAATGTAGCAAGCAAAATAACGGTGCAATGATACACTGATGCATTTGTGAGCTGTGACACTTCTTCCCACATTACAAAATATTTGACAAAATTTTGCAATATCATCAGTCACTAAAATAAGCTACAGGTTGTGTTAACACAGGGTTCGTACAGATTTTTGGATCCAAACTGCAAAACTTTTTCCAGACTTTTCCAATACAATAACTTCCTTTTCCATACTCAAGGTTAGAGAAGGAATGAAAGAACAAAGCTTTTTCCATGATGCACTGCAAACATACAAGCGAGAATGAATAAGATTTGACCAGCACAAAAAAAACATCTCACTTGTAAAGCACTTAGTGTGCATGTAACAGTTACTGTTACTTTGAAAAAACTTAAGACTTTTTACCATCTTTTCAAGACTTTAGCTTTATTTTCCAGACTTTTTCCAGGTCTGAAAAATTGCTGGGCAAATTTCAAGACTTTTTCAAGAATTCATGACTCTGTTCGAACCCTGTGCACATTGACAAATTTGTGAAATCACTGTCTTGAGCATCATTCCTTTCTAGCCCTTGTGAGGCAATATATGAAAGCAAGCCACACTGCTTCTCATGCTTCCTGTCTTATTCAAGATGGCGGAAAAAAATGCAGCTGTATAAACCTGTACAGTCCCTGTTTACAAAGCAAATCTTGAGGTTTCCACAACTTGGCAAAAACATTCATGTATCCTATTGTGTATTGTGTCGTGGCACTTGTATTGCAATTTGCCTATTATTATGGGAAAAGGTGTGTTGTAGGTCCGTAGGAAAATCGCTCCACACAGATACACATACACTGTACATGCTTTCCTGGAATATCATCCATAGGTACCAAAACTATAAGTTATTCTAACACTGTATTGGAGAAAATTAATAAAATATTCAGTGTACCTGAGTCATTTCAGGTGGAATCCTTCCAACAAATAACCTGACATCTCCTTCATTTTGAAAAGAAGAATATATTGACTGCTGTGATGGTCCCCTATTAAACAACACCACAAAAGCACCTTAAGAATTAAATAAAACTAGAAAATGGGGCTATATAGTCTGCAGGGCTGTCAGACATTTTTTAAGTAGCTGGCTGATAATCAATAGTAGGCAGCTTTGGAACTCGCAACAAAGGCACAAGTTCTTGAGGGCCGAGGCGTCTAGGTACATTTTGATATTTAGACTTTCAGAAATGGCATTTCCAGGGGTTTCAAGAACTATTTTTCACTGCGGACACCATATTGTTTGGTCATAATACACGCAGGACTGGGAACAATGCCGCTGAAATGTCCCAGGTGTTCCACGACATCGCACGGTTTGAATGTTTCACTGATCTAAACGTGTTTAAATATGCATTCATTGTCATTCAAAACTGGGAAATGGATGCTTTACAATTTCATTCGATGGTGCTTATTTTTTGTTCGCAGTTATGGTAGAAGGAGGTGACAGTAGCCGGCCAAGGATGGCTAACTAGCCAGCAGTTTTGGCCGGCTACCGGCCCTTAATGACAGCCCCTAGTCTGACTTAAGGCTTAAGGTCGATCTCCACTGTCACGTAATATTTTTACATGCGTACATGCAATAATAAAAAAGGCAATGTAAGGAAGGTCTTGCATGAATGTAAAAGTTGAACAACCCTTAACTTTTACATATATGCACGGCCTTTCATACATCGACTCTGTATATTATTTATGTATGTAAACTTTATGCATGTATGCGTGCAAAAATTATGCGCAATGGCAATCCACCCTTAGATGAGACAACAGTAAGTCTGTTGCAACTTCCAGAGGCTTGCTAAAATCTAACAGCTCTGTAATGCCGTTTAGGGGGGTTTAATGCAGAAAAATCAATATGCTGAAAAATCAGTCAATCAAAAGGCAACTTCATGTTTTTTCAATTCTGTGGAAAAACCAAAAATCAGCTTAATTATCATGCATCACCATAATTTTCTCCTCATGTCACGTAGTAGCCACTAAATTAAGATTTTTTTATCTTTTCAACTTTTTGTATTAGTACCGTATTTATGCCATTAACCGCCCTAGGTGCTTATTAAATTTTTGGACCTTGAGAGTGGGTGCTAATTCGAGGTGGGCGCTTATTAAATTTTCACCATTTTCAGCAAGTGTAGTATGTTAATTTTGCAACAAACCAATAAACGGTAATAACAAAATGCAAAGATTTAACAAAGCAAGGTTTCTGTAAAATGTTCTGAAAGAAAACTCCATCTGCAGGAGGGTATCTTATCTCTTATTTGAGTTTGAGTGGGAGGGGGAGGGGTGGGCACTTACTTGTGGCTGGGCGCTTATTAACTTTTTCTGCCTTTAGGATGGGAGCTTATGCGAGGTTGGCACTAATTCGAGGCTGGGCGCTTATTCGAATAAATACAGTATCTGTTGTGCTATTTTGGCCCTTTTTCTCTGCAATTCTTTATTATTCTCATTTGCTATCTTGTTGAAATTGTGGAGAAATACTAAACACTAAAATACTTTAGCCAGAGAAATACAAGGATAATTTTTCCTGCCCTTTGTCCACCAACAGTGATGATGATATCATGTAAGTTTAACCTTTTGCTAAATGCAAAAGGAGGTGTCTATGAAGTCAGCTTAAAATTTTTTAACCTAGGTTGATTCTCAATTTTCTTTGTCTCCTAGCCCTAAACCATGAATAAATAAGGCTAAGAGACAAAGGAAATAGCGAATCAACCTAGGTTAAAGAATTTTAACCTGAATTTAATTTTGACCTGTAACATCTATTCTTGACCTTTACCCTTTGCACTCTTAAATCAATCCAGCTTATCTACAACACTTTGCTAATAAACATTAAAATAAAAATTACTCAATGAAAATGCCATCCACTACAGGGAAAAATTTGTATGTGAGACCAAAAAAAATATTGCACCAGGAATGAGCAAAGTTTTGAAAAACTTACCCTGGGAAAGCCTTCTTAAGATCTTCAATACTTGGTTCTCTATAGCTGTTAAATATTTTTGACGCATAGTCTTCCACCATGGGATTCCAGGCATCAAGACCTTTCTCTTCAATATTTCTATTTTTGATAAACACAGAAATTCAGGACAATACACACAGAAAGTATTGGTACTCTTGCCAGCTTGGCAGTACTGATTAGAAATGCAGCAAAGGTCACAGTACTTCTCTTCAGTAAGACAAAACCAAAATGTAGCTTAAATACACTCAAAGTAAGACATAATACAACTCTCCTAGTTTAATTATGTGTTAAAATGCTTGAATTAGTGCTTCCCCTTCAGGAATTTGTCAGACATTAGGCATATTAAACATATTCAACCTTTGCCTGGTTAGCTCAACTGGATAAGTGCCGCTCTGCCAAGCGAAAACCAATATTGCACTATCCCCTGGATAGAGATTTATCCATCGGATAGCACTATCCACCTTTAGAACAACTGGTGCCTGGAGATTAGGATTCCAGGCAACAAGAGAAGCCCGCAACAAATAGTCAATAAATATTTTAGTTGTAAATTGTCTGATGACCAACTACAGGGCTGTGCTCCAGCAGAGCCCAGAGGCCCCTGGTGCCTAACTTTTGCCCTCAACTAGAAAATAGATTTTTCAATAAATCATATTTTAGATTTTAAATTGTCTGATGACCAACTTACTATTATTTGCAACTCTAATAATGAGCAGGACCTAAAATTAATGTATGCCCACTTCGAGACCAAAATAGCTGAAAAACTAAACCCTTTTAGGCGGCAAGTAAAAAGCTTATATAGGGAAGTTTCCCTCCCCACCCTAGGGGTAGAAATGCCAGGGATATGATGACATCAGTAGTGCAATTGCCACACAGACCCAAAATGCAGGCATGAAAAAGTTCTGCTGTTGATTCCCTTGTTTGGGTAAGATTTCCACACAGCCCTATACATTCATTCTGCACGCACGTTTCAACTGTATTCAGATAAATTGTTTGTGTGAAAAAGTATCAGACTGCTGCTTGTATATGGTGCTATGGTGAAATCCTAGCACTAGTTCTGACGGATTTTTCATGCTATTGCTTGCTGCTCTTTACCCAAGTACAACTCAATTTCTCCACTAAACAGGTTCACTAACTCAGGAGCACAAAGAAGTATGTGTTCATGATCAGTTTTTAGAAAACCTTGATTTCATTGAGGCTTTCTAAAAACTGATCTTGGACTACTATGCATTCCAGATTCAGCTTATTGTTTCTTTGAATTCATAAGTTACACTTTTCAAAGAGAAAGTGGCAAATATATGTATTCAACAAGAATTAGCTGGCTTTAAATTCTAATACAGATCTCTGCATTTCCCGCCATCCTGCCCTGATTACCCATGAAGCAACTATGAGCGTGAACCCGTCTATGCAACTGCTATCGAATTCGATCAGAAAACCAGACCAAAAACGCCAAACACAGCAACAAAAAGACAAGTTGGAGCGGACATTTTGCGTATTCGAGGCAATGATAAACTTATAAACCTAAAGCTACCGTCAACTCTCGCCACTGATCTGGAATGTTGCATACCTATGACCATTGTGGGGCAGCTCGGATTGCACATCGTCCATGTGCGCGTTTGCGCTTGCTTGCTCCATCGCCTTCGACAATTTCGAAGAGACTTTATCCCTAGGGTTAGCTTGAGAAAACCTAGAGTTTGTAGCCAAAAATTCGACTTGGTCTTGGTTTTGGGGTCTCAAATGAGCCTCAGCACTGGTCCAAACTGGTTTAAATTCGCCGCTTCTGAGCTCGCGATCCTCTGGAATATCGAAGTAATCTTCTGTACCCTCGGAGGACATCAATTATCGGTTTTCATCTGTTAAGAACAAAGAATTAATGGAGTAAGCACTTACATTCACATACTCTTGTATCATCGGGTATATTGACACAAGAAAACGACGAGAATTCGCCCCACCTAATGTTCACCTCCTGGTAACTCTCCGCCATTTTGCCATCCTCGTGGGACCATCTAATTCCCAGGTCCTTCGCAGAAACATCATTCTCGTTCCTAGTCTCTTTCGTTTGTGTGGCGGAGAGCAAGCTTTTCAGAGGGGTTTCTAAATGACCTTTTCGGGTCCGGCGAAAGCCTCTCAAGTATTAATCTACGAACTTTGCAATTTGATGCGATGTCAGGCGGTCACCCCACGCACTTCAGAGCTGAGATTGTGGCGTGACTAGCTCCTTCAGACGTATGAAGTTAGCCTGCAAGCAGACCTTCTTAGGGCCCCTAAGAACGTCTGCGTGGGAGGCTAATATGAAGTGGGATCAAATTAAGCCTGCACCCAGATTAGTCTCCTGGGTTGTGGTGTAGAAGCTGGATCAACCCTGAATCGCGTTAAAAAGAAAGTGAGCGAGGTTATCTTGACAACACTGGAGATAAATGCAATACAAATTTTCTATCTTGTCGCCGCGGAAAATGAGAGCTTCAGAGTCATAAAAAGAGAGAGGAGAAGTCGTTACGTCACGTTGCCATGGCAGCATCGTATACTAAAAAAATGCAGTCAAAAATTCACCGATCACTTCAATGCAATTTGATACCAGGTACAAGTTACAGAAGCGACGAACAGATTCACTTTGCAAATAATCAATTCATGAATGAAATCTTGACCTGGTTTGACTATAATTCCTCCTTCAGAAACCTGTGAATTAAGCTCAGCGATCTTCGCTTTCGCAACACCGGCGCCGGTCTGCTGAGCGGGAGGTCGCGCGTTCAAACCCGGCCGGACCAACACTTAGGGTCTTTAAATAACTGAGAAGAAAGTGCTGCCTTTGTAATGACATCTGTAAATGGTTAGACTTTCTAGTCTTCTCGGATAAGGACGAAAAACCGTAGGTCCCGTCTCACAGCACTTTCACTGATCTGTTCTTGTGGGACGTAAAAGAACCCACACTACTGTTCGAAAAGAGTAGGGGACGTACACCCCGGTGGTGTGGCCAACCTTTACGGGTTATGGGATTGGGTAGGGATAGCACATGGCACCTATGAGTCCCGTTCGTGTCTATTCCCTCTGGGCAGGCCTGTGTCCAGAAAAGCTTGTAAAACTAAAACTAAAACACTTTTTAGTTCGTGAAATATGGTGCACCAACCTAATCACTACTTTCGGCACAGAAATGCGAAGTCAACGAACTTTTACCAGTAAATTCAACTCGTTATTCATTTGTAGCTTTTAAATAAAGGTACGACAGCTCCAGTAAGCAATATTTCATCGCAAAAAAAAAAATAATAATTTAATAATAAAAAGCATTTAAAATTTTTTTTTTAGGAAGCGCCATCTGAACATGGACGTATCTAAAATTTTCTTTTCCCTAAAATTTATTTCAAAAGAGACATTATTCGCGCCCAAATTTGATTCCCGTCCAGTTAACGGCTTGTTAAATGAATGTATCAGACATTATTTTTTCTCTCTCGAGCCAAAGAAGCTAAAAAAAATAATAACGCCTGGTCTCAGGTTAACACAGGTTACAGGCTTCCATACTACCTAGAAAGTTTGACATTTCACATTGGCTTCCCTGTGGTGCGGACGGTCACATGGTTACCAAAATTTCTCGGATGGATTTCAAGTTAGGTATGGGGCTTCCGCTATTACAGATTTACAGTGCATACTATTTAGTACTCTTTGCGTGAAATGGGAAAGTGTTTGAGGCGAATACAGGCCTGGAGTGTGCAGACAGAGACGGTACTGAATTGATTGCGGACCATATGTTAAGGAGAGCGAACTGCGGCCTACATTAAACAGAAATGTTTGAATAGGACTTGTTTGGGTTCTATAAACTTTTTCCAACAAATTGTAAGCCATGTGATGTATTGACCTATTCGTTCAGTTACTTGCTTTCGTTGTTTCGTGTACTAATTATTTTTGCCTTAGTAGCGAGTTTTGCGAATTTCACAGCTAAATATCTCAGAACAATATCCATTGCTCTCAAGAAAAATTCATGTGGTCAGTAATTTTCTTTCTTCTCAATAAAGCCAGTAATGACCGATGAACATTCGACAATATCGATATCTGCTCTTTACTTGAACGAGCAACTAGAAGGATTGATATTTATTTAGATCACAGATGACAGTAATCTTGTTTTGACAATGAATTAAAATAAAATCCATAAATATTTGAGATAAAAAAAGGAACAAAGTTAATAAAAAAAATTCAAACGAAGAAAATTTTACGAATAACACTTGTTGCTTTCTAGGGGTATTCTTAGTCGTTCAGTCGACCATAACTCAACAATCATATTCAGGATATTAAATCTTTTGCCCCCAAATGTAGAAACGGTATTAAAATAGCGATATCGCTTTTTTTGGCGAAGCAGAAGTTTATAGATATGATGGGCTGCTGACTAAAGATATTTCTCTGGAAACTATGAGGTGAAGTGATTGTGTTTATTTAGTTTTAAGAAACCAGCGATGTCGGACGTGTTAGATTTCAACCTGCTCGAGCAAATATCATTAACGTCATTAGAAAGTTTTAATATCTGACCTTCCCTCATTTGAGTCACGCACGTATCCCTGCCTTTTTTCACACCGGAAGAGAGCTCTGGCATTTAGACAGCGTCAGAAGTGATGATTTTAGTCGCACAATGACAGATAAATGCACAAATTATGTCCTTTGTCAATATTTATTTTGTTTTTTTCGGTGTTTCCAATCCACCGAGCTGTCAGCTTCCCCTAGCATTCCTGCAGAATTTCACTTCCGTCCATTCATTGACCTATCGCGGGCTCCGGTGTAATTTGGTAATTTATGCGTAGAAGATGGCCACCCGAGAGGTAGGAAATAATTTACGCGAGCAGAGGCAGTATCGAAAGGCCCGTAACCGGTCCGAGGGAGATGACAGAGGGCAGAATTTCTCGGTGAAAAAGAGGAGGAAGATGGACCCGGTTTTTGTGGAGAAATGGGATGCTGCCGCTTTGAAGGTAAGAGTTTTACGATACACGTCTTCTCGACCGTTTTTTGCGCGGGCTTTGAAGAGCAACGCATTAAAAATTGTGGGAACGAAACTGTTTCGTACCAGTTTAGGCGTGAAAGTCGCTCTTGTATCACCTTTTCCTCTGTGAAGCTGTGTCAATTTGGTAGCTGTCTGACTTTATGCGCGAAGTTGTGTATTTTTAGCCTTTTCACACAATACAATCTAAAATAATCAGCGGAGCAGTGCCCGCGTTCAGGTCGAATAAACACTCAACAGAAAACTCTTTTCGCGTGACCCGATTATTTTTGGTCTCAAGGGATCTCGACCATTAAATGAAAGTCTTTCAACCTTTAATATTTTTCACCGCAAAGGATAAGTTAACTGCGAAATTTTGCTTGAAATAAAAACAATAAATAAATAAAAAGATGGAGAAGTGAACTTATATATTTTCAGAGAGTTCGCCTTTCAAAATACAAAAGGATAGCAAGCTTTTTTACCTGAAGTACTGGTTCAAGTGAACCGTAAACTGTTTATTGTCGAAACACTTTGTGTCGTTTATTCAACAAAGGAGTATGTGATTTTTGGATTTCCGGCTCAAAAAATAGGAGCGAAGCCCGAGTTCGTGTCCTGTTCTTTATTTAAACATAACAATAACACATCACATGGAGTATGCATGGAGGTTGTTGTAAACCTCAAAGCTCTCGGGAGTAGTATTGTTTTATATAGGTTCTTCGCTCGAAGAGCTTCGAAAGTGAAAATTTTCGTCTATCAAGTTAGAAAATCGGCCGACGATCATCTTTCATTAATTTGTGATGACTTTTCTGCGCACCGGGAAAGAAACCATATTTCGGAAGCCATGTGGCTTATGTATAGGCGTTGTTTAAGTTTAGGAATAGAAATTAAAATCGTCTTATGTTTTTTTGGTTTTACCCACCAGTTTTGCGGTTTCCTTTCTTTGTTACGAAAGAAAGAGAATAGGTCATCGTAATTGTTATGATATTTAGATTTAAGTCCTGCCCTAAGGGAATAATCTGTAAGTTTCTTGTTTTTGTTTTTTAGTCCGAAGTCCGAAAATTATGAAACGAATAAAAACCGAAAATGAAATTTCCAATATATATGGTGGCTGCGTCCACTGTACAGTAATATAAATATATTTCCGGCTTTCATCGTAGTTTGTAATTTAATCACAGCTAATAAATACCATATTTGGCTAGTTTACGTCGGAAGGGTGTTTTCAGTTCTCACCAGAAATTACGGAATTAAACTAGCATCAATTTGGCGCTCACTCTAATATAATCATTTGTAAAACGTGACAAGCTTAGCGGTGTGTGGGCAGTTGGATTTTACTCTTTATTATGTATGTTATCACTGCTGAGCACCCGATTAGTTTCAAATGTGACGAGTATATTCATCAAGCTTGATACTTTTGACCTGTTGATTCTTTTTTTCAGCTGGGAATGTTCTTGACCCTTAAATCTTTCTGATAAGGGATGGGTAATTAATGCATTTAATCTAGTTCCTGCCTCACCCAGCCACCATGACAAAACAAACAATATCCCCAGTATATATAATGCCATTTTCAACTGTATCTGTCTTAATCCGGGCAGAAGGAATGTTAGCTGTGTATTATGGACAATAGCTTTCTTAATAATATCACAGTGAATGTGGGAGAATTTTGTGGAAACTGTAGAGGGGTGAAAAGACATCATGAACAGGTGAATGAATGGATGCTTTGGGAATTTGTCGGGAACCTTTTTTTGATTTTATGAGGCAGAGCTCTGGGAAATCCTACCATTAAGCAGTGTAGCCCAGAACAAGCCCTATGGTAAAAATATAATTTTTTAATAACATTAATTTATTATGTTTTTACTCTTAATATTTATAGTAAAGGAATATTAAGATGATTAATGTATGTTACTTTCTTGCTTGGACCTCTCACCATTATTACCAGATGTTTCTTGATAAACAAATGATAAAGTCTAGAAACAAGAGGACTGTGTTACATAATATGTATTGTGTAGGTTAATGTTTCAGTTATTATTATGTTCTTTTGTTTATCCATAACTCTCTCTACCTTTGGTTCTGTTAATAGCAGCCTGTTGTAAAACTGTCAGAATTGGCATTTTTGTTAAAGCTTACAAGCATTTATTGCAGACAGACACTTTTATCAACTCATTGAGAATTGCGAAAAAATTATTCCTCCATACAAATTATACCATACTAAAGATGTTTTTTTTGTAGGAACTTGATGACTCAGCCATTCAAGAGAAGATTGACCATGAGGTGCATATACGAGATGGAATAGTTAAATTGTTGGCTGCTTGCCATGAGGAGGTTCAGGCTCTAGAGGCATCCAAGAACCTTCTCACAATCAATGCTCGTATCCTTGCTCTTATGGCATTGCTACAGAGACACAGGGCAAAGTCAGTCTTGAGGCGCAAAGGATCGAGGTATATTAAAAGTGTGATATATGTAGAAGTGTGAATAGTGTGTAATAACTTTAAATGGTGGAACAATATCTCACAGGAATATTAGTTAATATATTTAGGCAGTTATTATGTAAGGTTTCTAATGCATTCTTAGAGATTGTGCATATGTAAGTTGAGGTATGGGGGAGTGTAAATAGGTTTTTTGAGGCAAGAAACAAGACTTGTTCATTACATGTCGGTGTCCGTGTTTTAATGAAACTGTGTGTCATTGAAAAACATTGAAGAAATGAGTGACAGAATGTATCTTGCATCATTTCATGTCCAGCATAGAAGTATAGCAGTTAGTTGCTTCTTTTGTTGAAAAATGTAACTCAAAAGTAAAATAACACAAAATATTGTTTTATTGTTGTACTTCAGTTTCTGGGCTGTAAATTTAGAATTAGGTCAAGCTAATACCAGTAAATTAGCAGCAACCTTCTCAGAACCACACAGAAAAGATTTCATTGTTGTGATTTAGAACAATATAAAACCTATGTATACTGCATATGCATTGCTGACCATGCATGAAATCAAAATGGGGGGATATTGACTTGTTCCTTTTACATCAAAACTTAATCTCCAGCAATTTTTAACCAGCAAACTTTTAATTTGTTAATTGAGGATCCATTATACGGTATATTGCCCAATTAAATTTTTTCTCCTGTGAATCAAGTGAGTACTCCTGATTTTGCATTCCTAATTTTGCCTGCTTGGGTAGTCAATTAGCCTGGTCTTGGAGCCAGCATTGTAATAAAGATAGCATTTGAACATTCTTATATGGAGAGATTCTCTCAAATTGAATCGGCTCTTCTTGTCCTTTTAAATTTCAGTTCAACATCACCTCTGGATTTAGATGATGGTGATGCCCCTTGCAAAGCCCAGCTTTCCCTCTCAGGTAAATCAATCGATGATTGATAGCAAGGTTGTGCTCTACCTAAGATAATAATTATATTGTAGGGAGCACAAAAGCTTCCCTGCAAAAGCATAAATATTAGCACCATACTGCTCATATGGTAACAAAGTAAGAGCAAAAAGATCATTCAGTTGAGCTACAACCAGTTGCAAAAATACTTGAGACACTGTAACTTATTTTGGGTTTAATGGTCTGCTTTAATGTGACCTTGTGTTTGTGATCCCCCTCCTCCCCTTATCAATAATGCCAGCAATACAAGACCATGCTCAAAACTTGGAGGTACAACTTTGATTGGAGAACAGGGGGAAGATGAGTATTGTATCTTATAGAGGTGTGACTAGCAGCAATTTGAAGTAAGAAAGGCCAGTTTTTCATCGGATTGTCTCAACATTTTTTGGGTTGTAGCTTTCAGGCCTTTGGAGACAATTTGTCCCTCAAGACCTTTGTAAGGGAGAACCAAAAATAGAAATTATTAGGGGACAAAGAGTGTTTTGTTTGTCATTACCTTATTTCCTCTTATAGCAGATGTGTTTCAGTAAACAGCGAGTCAAGAGTAAAGTATGCAATCATGCAAATTTTTATCAGATTTCCAAATATAGTTATGTTGTCTCCATGGAAATAAATTTAAAGTGACAAATTGGTACAAAATTGCAAGAATGTTGCAATGTTTTGCTCTGTCACAAACTCTGCTCATGTTGAGAAAGACACACATGCATGATAAGTGACACTTAAGGATAATGCAAAATTAAACAGCTCCCTAAAGAAAACATGGTAATCATGTACAAGGTTTGAAAAAAAACTTGAACTCAAGCATGTCCTTTGGGCAAGCAGCTCTCACATTTTGCTTGCCTAGGGCCTGCTTGCTTGTTTTAATGTTTTTATCAGAGGATGACTTGCCTGGACCCTTGACCATTGGGCAAGTGAGCCTCAGAAGTTACTCACGTAGTGAGAAAATCTGCTTATCCCAGACAACCGGATAGGACTTTTTTCAATGGCAAAAACAAACAAACGAAAAGGTTGCAGTATGGTTATATGGCCCATAATGAGATGGTCATGTAGTTTATTGCACGCAAAGAAGAAAAACAAAATACCTTCATTACTTAGTACCAAAAAGAGATTGTTACCTACCAGAGAAGTTGACTGAATTGTTTTTTTTTGTTATTAGAGATGCCTTGCAAAGGGTCATAGTTACTTACTGCATTGAGTTATCTGTAAGTAGGCAATTTACATGTAACATTCTGAATCACATTTCCCACTTGAAACTTTCTTCTTCAGATATCCGGGTCCCTTTGATGTGGACTCAAGATGATCACAATAAAACCAAAACAGGTACATTGTCATTGAATGGTCATTTTCTTATTCACAACCTTGTTAATATATGATGATAAGATTACCAATGACAAACAGCAGATGGAAATCAGCCATTTGCTGTAAACGTGGTGCTTAACCTCAATCTCTTCAATATGGCCAGACAATTATTACCTCTGGTGAGACCAGTTGGCAAGTAAGAAAGGCAAACTGTAAATCTGTTTTTAAAGTCTTGAAGGTGATATCTAATCTTTGATATTCATTATGTAGTTGATAAAGGCTACATTACTAGCACAGAGGTCAATCATGACCACCCAGTTTATCAGTGTTGGTATAAATGGGGCTTCACTAGTATTAAATTTTTTTTCTCCCTTAATAACCATGACATATTCTTTCAGACTATTCCTCATGCAGTTGCCAGCTAGTATTTTCATCCAGAATATAGAGCATTTTTTACTTAATTTTTTGTTTTTTATGGTTGATAATGTTCTAATTGGTCTTCCTCTGCATCATTTTTTTTTCAGAGCAACATCTCTACTATGTGTTCTGTTTATTGAAGCTTGATGGCCAAGTGTTGGACACTGCTCTTGTGGAGACAGATGAATCAGAAACAGACATTTCCTTTGACAACATAATTGTCTTGTATGTTTTCACTCTTATGCTAACAAGTACTCCAGCTTATAGTCTGCATACAATATTTTGAAAACCCAAAAGGTGCCTCATTAACTGTCCACGGCACTTCTACTGTGATCCCAACCCTGAGTGCATGTTCTTGGTATCTCAAATCCACAGCTATGTTTTATAAATTAATACACAGTGTGCAAAGAAAGTCGTGTCCAATAGCCTGGGGCTAGTGGATTTTGCTATTGGGCCAGTGATTTTTGTTCTTAACTTGCCCAATGGGCAAGTGCTGTTTTTTGGGGAAGTTCAAATTACGTAAAGATTGTAATCAATCGTGCTAATCAAAAAGGGTTTTGGGGCTAGTTGAACTGACTTGTGGGCTAGTACATGCTAGCCACAGCTTGCCTGAATGGCAGGCTGTAAAACTGACTTTCTTTGCACCCTGTTACATAAGCTATTAAACTAGACTACCTCCTGCAGGTTAGGATGCTTAATCTTGCTTAGTTTATTAGGATTATCTGTTTTATTGTCTCTGAAAAGCTCCTCCTGTGAACAGGTCAATTAAAAATAATACAGTCAACTCCCTTTATAGGGGGCACTCTAGGGACCTCGATTTAGTGTCCTCATCAGTGAGAGTGTGTAATAGTGGGAGTTTATTTCAGTCGCAAGTCTGTTATTTATTTTCTGCCTAGAATTTAGCTGCTGTCGGCTATAGTGAGGTGTCCGCAAGACGAGAGTTTATTTTACTATGTTATTATTATTAGTTCACTACTGCCTTTTATAATATACTAACTCGCTGCAATTTTGTTTTTATTTTTATACAGTGACAATGTGAGTCATGATTTCAGACTGGACATAGAGATTTACTACACAGTGTCATCAGACAGTGCAGCAAACAGATTCACCGGAGCAATGAGACCTCTTAGAAGAACTGCAGCAGGACCTGAAACTCCTAAATTTATACTGGCAGGACACACACAGCTAACAGTTGACCACCTGAATGACAGTGTCAAATCACATGATCTTAAAACTGGTAAGACACAAGCTGTCTAGCAAGTGAAAAATTTTTCACACTTACATATTTGATGAGTAATTCGTTTCACAGGTTTTAAGTTTGACATCGGTGATTTGTCACACAGTTTTCGCTGCCAGTTAGCTGAGACTGGAAATAGGGTATGTATAGGAGGCTGGAGCAGCAATTTCATGGCAATTTGTCACTATTGCAAATATCCATTCAATTTATTGACTGATCAAGGATTTCCTGCTCGAGGGATTCTAAACATAGCTTAGCGAAAAATGTTTATGCCAGATAAAGGTTGCGGTAACTGCTGCTTAAAGATTGGGCATTTAAAAAAATAATGTCAAGAAATTGCCATTAAATCACTACTAAATTGCATCAAAAATTGCCACGTGCTTCTTATTGTTATCGTGCTCTTCAATCAATGAAATAATGATAATGTTATTGTAATATTATCAAATAAAAAATTATGACACTGAACTTGTCAGAATAATTGTCACTTGTTGATATCAGTGCCAAACTGTGAGGCCAGTTTCTGGCTTGTTGAATCAAACTTTGAACTCTCACTAAAAGAAATTCAAGCATACTGTATGGTGATTTTGTTGCAAATAGTTATGGTGAGTCCTGGCACTCGTCTTGTGAAAAATCATGAGGAAAGTCTAAGTGGTAGAAAAGATGTGATTTTCACTTTGCCTTCATACTGTAGGTTTATATGGTGCTAGCCCCCTAGCAACAACTTCAGAATCCTCCAATATGCCTCAGTTAGCCCTTTGGGGTCAGATCTGCTGTCGTCTAGCAGCCAGACCTGCATGTGTAGAGGAACCGCAAATGAATGGATTCCTAGAAATACAGGTATGATTACAACAGTAATGGAACTAATGACAAACAGTAAGAAATTTAAATAAAAGAGGCGGTTTGAATAAAACTTTAGGGGTCTTCTGAGTTTTTGCTAGATTGTCCCAGTAGTTTGCTCTGTATATTCAGATCAATCAATAGGAGAATTGGTTTTTAGATCAGGAGGCACTCAGGCAATAAGTTGTCCTGGGTAGAAAGGTCAGTTGACTATCCAACCTACCCTGGGTAAGCCAACTTTTCATACTTTTCCTTAAAAATGGATGAACAAAAGGTGGGCTTGGCTAGAGGTGTGACCCAGCTAGGAGGGTCTTTTGTGATGGTAGGGTCACCCTCCCAGCCAGGCCAACTTTTCTCTGTATAAACAGCCAGGTCAACTTGGTCAGGGCAAGACAATCGGAACATGCATGAGTGCTGTTTGCTCTGGCAATGGGGTTAACTTTTTTATCATAAAAATTATAAATGCCGTCTAGAAGTTGACTATGGCTGGAAGGGTGACCTTCTTTCCTAGGACAGGTTTTCTCCATATAAGTGGGGTCTCAGGACCCTTTTTCAATGCACCCCTTGCGTTTTTATAGAAAGGCCCTAAATTATACCTGATCTGTTGTCAACTTCTTTCTTTGTTTCAAAGGTTTTCTTCATTTTACTAACAAATAGGTGAAAAGCAGACAGGTGCCTTGCTCACATTTTGCCCTGACATTTTGTGTGCTAATGTCAATGTTTTTTTTTTATCTTGTTATATTCAGATGAGGACAGGCAGCCAGTTTTCATGGTGTCGACTATGGTGTGTCTTGAAACATGCAACCATCAAATGCTGGAAAAGTAAAGATGACTCTAATAACAAAGAACCTGTTGAACTGATAGAAATCAAACCAGTAAGATGATCTCATTCAACCTCACTTAACTAGAAGAATATCTAGTTTCAAATTGTAAACTAGTGTAAATGATTTGAGGTCAGTTAGGCACCAAAGAGCAACACCCCAGCCCTGATTTAAACTACAACAACAACAACTTTATTCTTTGTACAAAAATACAAAAGTTGGATTGTTTGCCCCGTAAATAACTGGAAAGCTAGTCGTGGCGGGGCAAAACAAGTACATGAATAACACAATTATCTAGTAAAAACAAAAACCTTAAACTATTAGAACGCCTTGCAGATTGCAACTAAAATAGATAAAACAGAGAACTTAAGTGATCTAATTTACACAGCGTTTACTGACGTGTAATGCATTAAGACGAGGAGTCACTGACATCTTAAATGATAAGACAGAAAGAGAAAAGCAGACATTAAAACCTTTCGTATGTACCTACTTTTTTAATAATCATGGAGATTTGAATATAGTCATCCTCCTTTTCTAAGATATCAAATAGCAATTTGCCGATAACTATGGAGGTAGTATTTTTAGTGCAATAGGATATTGTGCGCTACGGTCATCAGTATACAGGTACATGCTGCTCCAGCTTAACTGGACTAGGTATTGAATTTTGATCAGGTGTGAAATGGTTTAAGTAAAGGGGAAATCATATTGGTCTGAAATAAGGTAGGGGATTCAAGAAGCATGATATACAACCCTGGTCACATTTCCTGGACCACCCCCTCCCCACACCTCGGCAGGGAGACATAAATCCCAGATTCTGGGCTTAATCATAATGAACAATTTTGATTGGAAGTGGTTTCACCCTGTAGTGAGTTTGCCCCCCTAAAAATTAGCCTCGTAGGGAATCAAGTTTGTCCCATAGTGAATTAGCCCCCTCTAGTTAGCCTTGTAAGAAACTTTGTTAACCACTTGCACGTGTAGGAACTATATTAATCAAGGACGTGACAGTAAAAACCATCAATATGACTGTAGGTCCTGTGATTTGTTGTGTACTGACAGTTTTTGTTCTTGTTTTGTAACCAGAATATGGAGATTGCAGACACAATCAGCCCCACGTTTCAACAGCGTCATATTCTAATTCTTACAAGCCAGATGCCTGAGAAGGAACCTGTGCTAGCCTCTAACTCAGATGAAGAGTACGCCAGGTGGAGAGATGCTTTGTACCAAGCTATTCGCGATGTGACCGCTTGGAAGGATTCTTGTAGGCAGGAGATGAACATTGTTTACCCAAAACCAAAGAGACTTCCCTCGGTCGAAACCAAGACTTTGTATGATTCGATAGAGGTCACGCTTAGTTGTACGACGGGTAAGTACACTGTGTACCTTTTATAATTTCTTTTCTGTCACTGACAAATACAGCATAAAAGCGGTTTCTTACTAATAAGAGAAAGAAAATTAAAAAGGGTTTTCATTTATTCACATCGTGAGCCTACAGGGTTTGGTTCTAGGATGGCTATCTTCACATACATCTCCCGTAATACACCTTGTTTTCCCTCCAATATTTTGCATGAGCATTGTCATTCCCCTTTGGACGACATAAACGCCTAGGAGAAATGAAAAACAAAGGCTATGAAAGTTTGTTTTCTTTAGGGGGGAGGGGTGGTGGTGGGGGAAAAGGTGTATTATGGGAGATGTGCAAATGGTGAATGCTGGGTTTTGGAAAACTTTAAAAAGCTTTATCGGCTGCAGTTTTAAGAAGGGGAGGGGTGTGGCAGGAGTAAGGGGGTAGCAATTTTGGGGTGCATAATCTTCTTTAGATAGTGTTAGTTATCTTTTTCTATCATGCAACCATTTCCTTCTCTTGCACCGCTACAGTGTTTTATTTTTAATTTTAACTTGCACTTGCACTGAATATGACTTGATTTCTTCAGATGCTTCATGACCTTGCCCGCCATCTTGCTTGGCTGGAGCATGTAACTCAGATAAGTGAGTATTCTCTCCTCATCATGCAGCCATCGCTTCCTCTCTCACCTCCTGTTCGTGTAACTTTGTGCAATTTGTCTCGCTAACTACTGTATGTCCAGTCTGCTCCACAACCGTTCTTTGTGTCGTCTCGCAACGCTCCTCCCCACAAAATTTTCGAGACGAGGCAAAAAACGGCTGTGAAGCAGTTTACTGTATGTCTGACCTCGCCGCATGTTCTTTCATGATCCTTTGCCTGCTGTAACCCTACTGTTGAACTCACTGTACGCTGTCTTGTCTCCAGGCTTCTTTGCTTGCTGTTACGCGGCGCGCCCTGTTGTAGCTTGGTAAACATGTTTGGATCCTACCCATGACGCCCTGCGCTCTATGTTTTCTGCGCCATAATAGGGCCTGGAAACGAGACCGTGTCACGTGTCATGCGCAAAGCAACTGTTTTCACTTTCTATCGGAGCAACATTCACACTAAATAACAAAGCTGACCATTACTGTCGTCGCACTGTATCACTTAATACTTACGCAATCGTGCCCCACAAACTAATATAACCGACATTATTAAACACTGAATCATTGGATAATGCAATTCTAGGGCTCTGATTGGCTTAGCCATCATGGTATATGAGCCATTAGTAAAATCCAGCTAGTGGTCTATTATTAATGCTGCGTTCTGATTCTGATTGAGAGCACTGGCTAGCAGAGGGGTGACCACAGCTTCGATTCTCGGGGCCGAAACAATGCTTTTAGGGTCTTAAAAAACGGTGAAATAAGGAATTGCCATCGCTCCGCGTCGTGCAAAGGCCTAGACCTTCGTGTGGCGCGGATAACCACTTTCGCGAACCACTTTGCGGTCCCGGCCGTCTCCAGCACGGAATAGTAAAACAGCGTCCTCAGTTAGGATTTCGTTCTCTATAGGTTGACACATACACATAAAAACGTTACGCATAAAACCCGCGTGTTAGAATCAAGTGGTCTAAGAGCCTGCTGGGGCAACTTTATCTTCTTAATAGCCAAAAATATAACAACCTGTTTAGCCAAGCAAAATCAAGCAGGTTTTTATATGTGGGGTTTACAGTTAAATTATGATAAAATTTATACCAAGGAGTTTGACTTAGAGATTTCAAATTTATATGATATAATATATTTATTATTTTATATCATATATGTTAGATTATATCTATTATGTTTTCTGTTATACAACTCGAGTTTAAGAGATAACGCTACATACATTGCATATATTCTGTAGGCTTATCATAATATAGTTGTGAACAAGTGCTGTATATTTAAGGACCAAACCCAAGGTTTTTCTGGTAGCAACGGCTATATTTCCTTCATTAAGATTAAAAACATAATTAAGGACCCACTTAGCCTACTTAAGTTGCCAATTACCAACCCAAAATACAAGAACCTTTTTGTTTTTGCTAGACTTCCAAAAATGTAGGTTCTTGCACGTGGGTTTTAACTGTATTTCGTTGCTCACAGGAACAGTTTGAATTGCATGTTTCTTTATTCAACAGACTACGTGAAGAATGACGCCAAACGTAGACCCCTTGGAGAGCTGAAATCACTTCCTGCTGAATCACCTAGTGTTGAATGTACTTATGATATCTGGCAGAGGCGAGTTCCTGAAAACAGAAGCTTTAGAAAGGCAAAAAGACAAGCAGGAGACGAAAACCGCCTGTTGAATTATGAAACTACAATCTAACAACCTGTTGGACCAACCGTCCACAGTTTACTTGATCTTAAAGGCGCTGTGTTACGAAATTTATCAAAATTGAAACTGGGATCTGCCACCAAATTGAGTGAAACATAAAAATAACGGCTAAAAACTTCAAAAGAAGGTATTACTTATAACACAGCAAATATTCGCTACTTTGCGGTTGTGCGGTAGACCGAGTCGAAATGGTTGTCAAAGTGCATCGTGGGACTTCAGAGTTTATTTTTTTTTCTGTAACGTTTGATTTAATTATTCAGTTTGAGATGAAGTTGTTATTTTGTAATTTGCTATAGTAATTTTGTCGGCGACGGCGACGGCAACGAGAACGGCACAAAAGCGATAGGTTTAGATTTGCAAAACAACAACTTTGCACGTGCATCGCGCTTTTTTGTACATTTCTTTGCCGTTTCTGCACGATTACGACGTGAAAATGCCTAATTTCACGTTTTATGGAGAATGTAAACAAGCAACGAAGAAATTTTCTTTCTCTTTCTAAACTTGAGTGAGGTTCCCAAGAAATCAACGCCAGGGAAATTTGCCTACATTAGACATTTTTTGCGAATTAGAATAAGCGCGGCAAAGTTTGGAAAAACGCTAATTGAGGTTTCCGCTGCCGTCGCCGTTGTCGATGCTAATACTCCCTATTTTAGCAAAATGAACGAAACAGCCGTGACACAGCTCCTTTAAGTGTTTTAATCGTTAAGACAAAATTTGAAATCGGCTCCGAAATTTTTAAAAATAGGTAATTAGTCTACATCATTATTTGTATATATGTAACAATGGGAAGTGTATTTAAGAAACCCTACAAAATGTATTGAGTTCTGAAGACGTGACTTGGTTGAAATGTTTAGATAATTTAAAATGTAAATAAGACCCAAGTTTTGACAAGAGCAAGATACCCCTATTTGAAAAATTATATTAGCGTAAAGTTCGGCACACGTCAAGCCACGCGTTGCAACGGTTTTTCGTACCCAGGATCTATCGTTGCCGGCGACATTTGGCTGCAGCGACGGATCAAATTAATTTGGCAAACTGACTCAATGTTAATAAAACTTTTACAAGTGTAATTTACAAGTTTATCCATTGTTTTTGAGTCTGAAAACAATAGCTTTACTTGTAATTTCACTCGTAGTTTTATTAAAGTGAGCCCTGGTTTGCTTTTGTGCGTTCAGTCGAGGAGACATGACCTACCGTTAGACTGTATAAACATCAGTGCATACGAGGAGCTGAGTTGTCCACGCGACTTTTGGATGCAACACGTTGCCTTTCGTGTGACGAAGAAAATTAAAGAAAATGTCGGGTTCTCGAAACTACAGCTCCGAAATCTGTGAATCCTTTTTTATTAGATGTGATTATATTTTACAACTGACAAAGCAAGCCGACCTCTGGTCGTCCGATGAATTTTTTTCAAGACATACAATCCTGTGTCTTGAAAACTTGTAGATGTTAAATAAGAAAAGGATAATCGTTATGTTTAAGCAAGCATTCAAAAGATTAATAAAGAATTTGTTGTTAGTTTGCTAGACTTGTTCAGTTTTTAATGAAGTCGTTCAAGTCACTCTGGTGAAACTGTGAAGGGTTTGAACCCAGGAGTCATTTTATAAGTATTTTGAAGATGATCGTCCCGGTAAATGTAGTCTTGAATAGGACTGTTGCTGACAGTAGAGAGGTTAAGCATCACGTTTACGGCAAACGCAAATTTGTACCACGTTACCAAGTTTCCTCTTTACTTGTCGTTTACTGTTAATTATTTCTACACCTAAATTAGTAGTTTCACGCAATTTCTATTTATAAGAGTTGTCAGTTTGAACTGTTTTTATCTGCTCATTTTCTATTTTGAGAAATTCTCAACTTGAATCTGACGTTTGCCGTATACGTGAAGCTTCTCTAGTGACTGACTTTTCGACTGTCTGACTTTTTCTAGTAAACGGAAAAAAAATTAGCAGAGAACAAAACCAAGTTTCCAAACATCAGAAAGTATGGTTACGTGAATGATGTACCGGAAATCAACAGCGGATTAAAGAACTGCTGTACTTTCATATTGGTTGGGGAAAATCTTATTTCACTTTCGATTTCAAGAAAAAAAGAAAAAAATGCAAAGGAGAAGCGTGAATGGACACGACGGTTTCTACGTCAGTCCTTAATTCTTCAAATTGAATATTTAAATTAAGTGGGAATTATAGTGGAAGCGAAAGGTCTCTTTTGACAGATGCAAGGAGCATCAATAACTCCCAAACTTTGATTTCCATACGTCTGAGACAGTAAGACTGCTTTAAAGATCAGTCGTAAGCCCTTGGCATCTCATTTCAATTCCTCGCTGTGTTGATTTTACTCTTCGTCACGTTTTTCGTTCCTGTGTCCTAAGTTAGTTTAAGAAAGCGCGTTTTCTTTAAGCTGATTCCATGTTTCTCATTAAATTTTATCTGGAGACCGTATAAAACTACAGGTAATGTTTGAGGCAGGATGAGATAACTGGCCAAGGTGTTTCACCTGTTGGGAGAGAGAAGTCGCACTGGGTTCGGCTGGTCACTTCCTGGGGTTTGTCTCAAAACAATGTTTTTATAGTCGGGTTGCAAAAAACCTTCCTTAAGAGAAAATACTTTCAATTTCCAATCCGTAGCCATATTCAGTTGCCTTTCTTTTGGATAATTCTGAATGATTTTATTGACTAACACTTACCGTGCAGTTATACCCGCAATAAATCTTAGCCGGTTTCTATCATCTGCACCACATGACTTTCTCGTTCATTATATGGGAAAAACAGAGAAGGTTACTTGGATGTTACTTCCGCGTTTTTAAAACAACATGCCAGGATAATCAAGACAAATTTGCCCCATGGTATCCTTGTGAATTACAACTTCCAGAATATATTTTTAATGAGGTAATTCCCCATCTACATACCCATTGTTGTTTTTTGTATTTGTACTGTGTTTTCATATATTTCTTCCAAGAAATGCTAATTAAAATTCTGTTTTCTGAAATTGCCTTTATCCGGCTATTAAAGAAAATGAAATAAGTAATTTTCTATTTTTTTTGATACCAAAAAAATGGAGGAATGCGCGCCGGCTTTAAAATCTCTTTCTCGAATCACAGTTGAATGGAACCATACGATCGAGTATATGTTCTAACACGCAACACTCTGAACGCTCAAAAACTTCCGCGGTCACTCTTGAACGTTCTACGGGGGTGTCGAAAATGAAACAGTTCTTGTACGACATAATGGCACTTGGGGAAATATAGAGTAATTTTTCTAAAAAAGCAGTCGATGCTTGATTATATATTTGACCGCAGACAGTAGCGTTCACTACTGATCCAGCTACCGGTCTGTGATCAGTTAACATGGCCGAACCTGATAAACCAACTTGGGTCGAGCTTCTTGATGAAAGAACTCCTCATCTGATTAAGGAGTTAGTTCCAACTAAACTGTTACCTTATTTAAATTTACCCATTAGCGATAAAGAAAACATTCAATGTGACGAGAAAAACAAAGGAAAGCAAGTAGCCACGGTGACGCTTTTCGGCAAATTGACAAAGCGTAACGGACCGAATGGGCAGAAGACATTTGAACAGCTGGTCAGAGCGTTAAGAAATGTAGGAAATCAGCAATCTGCTTTGCTTCTGGACCCAAACTTTAAAGGTAATTACTATGTATCACTGTACCTGGCGTTAATACCGATAGCTACTGCTGCAACCCGCAAAAGTCTACAAAATCAACTATTTCGCGGTCTGTTTGGTGGTTAAGTTTTCATAAGCCATTCTGGTGTGACACAACAGACTTGCCAGGAAACCTAGGAGTGAAACAGAGAGCGGAGTTTGAGCAGAAAAACTCCATCGAAGCTCGTAGACGGGGTGCTTATAAAGCGCAGGCAAGAGAGACTTGCCTCACGGCCTTGTGTGGCCGAACTTCCTTATGCGCGAAGGACTTTGAGAAAATCAAGGTACATAAAAAACGAATAAGTAGAAGAATCATTCACGGAGTTCAATGAATCGGGTTAGCAGAACATAGTAGGTGTCCTCTTCTTTTCGAAATCATTGATTCAGGTAGAAATTTAAAATATCCACCTTATTTTTGATTTTAGATATTATTTTGGATGTAGTAGGTGTGCAGCTCAACCATGCAATGAGACACATCACGAGTACAATAACGAAAAATAATTTTAAAAAGAAAATAAGAGGGGGCATGCTCTTCGATTCTCGTGTTTAAATATATATCAAGGAGAATGAGTGAAGAACAGCAGGGCCCATGCAAGTCTGCGTGTCCATCATTGAAAGGGAGATGTTCATCCCAAAGCAAAACAAAATGATGTATTAACCTTGTAAAATCGTGAATATCATCATATTCTTTCAGTTACTAATGACTCGGATGAAATCAAAGACGAAAATAGCCTTCGGCTGGGAATCTTGGGCACAGCAGCAGGTACTGTAAATGTATGACGCCATTTTAAATTTTCCTTCTTGATTTGTCATAAAAGAAAAATTGTTACTTGTTGGCTACCGTACAGCTGTAAGCAAACCATCAATAATAATCAAACGACAAACTTTCGCCCTGTTTTCTATAGAAATTAGGAATTATGTACAGCTTGGTTCCGTTTTTAATTAAATTTTAAACAACCTTTGACTTGTATTTCCTCCGTGAGTTATGAGTGTATCCAAAGAGCCGTTAACCTGTTGTAGAAATTTGCGCAGGAACTTTACTTTACTTTGTTCATTTGTTTGTTTGTTTTTTTGGCAAATGGGCAGAAATTGCAGTCAGAATTCGCCTGCTAAACGAGGAGACAAAGAAGTACTCCAAAAGGCGAGAAAAAGAAATCTTGGACAAATTTGGTGACATCAGATCAGAGAGTACGCTTGAACTCCGCAATCACTTACATCAGGTATAATAAAATAATCTTGATGCGGAGATATGCAACATTGTACAATATTATTGCCGAATTCGCAGGGTTAACCTCAGCCTCAAGTTTACTCAAACATGTCAAAGGCTAGCAAACTAAGCCCACAACTGTAAATTGGTCTATTTTGCAACTCTCTTTGTACCTTAAAAAGCTGAGCTGAAGATTTTCAAGTTTGAACCGGAGAGTAATCCGTCTAAAGTTATCTTTTCCAGTCTAGCCCAATCGTATCCGCCTCTGGCCTTCTTCTAGATCTGTATCCTTGTACAGTTCTGTTTTTCTGAGCGGTTACTTGGGGTTATGGCCCGTTAAGGAAGTCGTAGTCAGAAGTCAGTAGTCATTAATACAATTGTCTGACCAATTCTTTTGTTGGCTTTGAATTCAAGGAATTACCCGAGGGAGCAGCCTTCTCCGCGGTGTTTATTGAAACGAAAGATAAGTTATTGGCCTGCAAACTGCGCGTATCACTAAAGTCCGCCGCTGACCAGATATGGGAGGACTCACGCAACGGTAGACTTATGACAATTCTGAAGAAGAATTTACTGAGAGGACTGGACCCCGAAATGCTGTCACACCTGACCATGCGCATAAACATCATGCAAGAAGAATAT